AATCGAACCCCGGACCACTCCCAGGCGTTGTCTTGCGCTTTTGAAGGCGGAAGAACTAATGCTAAGGGAGTATTATACCACTAAACCACAAGCCCGATCTGTTGCTTTCTGTTGAAGCCGATTTGATTTGTCCGTATATAGCTAACTAGTTTTTTTTCACTTTTTTTCTGTTTCTTTGATGAACGACGTGGAAAGAGAATGTCAATACAACCGTAACCTTCCGATTCCTTTCGCTATCGTCATATTAAATCAATATCAGAAAATAGAAAGGCTTCTCGTAGATAGGACTGGGTTGGGAATCCTTGCTAAACTAATCATCACCTTACAAGGAGTAGTCTAATGAGATATCATCATCGTTTTCTTTTTAAGAAAAAAAAACTCATCTCCACTCATCATCAAGGTTCTATCCATCCCCTTCGCTACCATCCTCGCTGTCTTGTTCATCTTCAGCGTGATCTTCTTCGAGGGTGTCTTCACAATCTCAAAATCTCTAGGCAAACAATTACAATTGTGGCAAATTTGTCAATAGGTAGTTGAAGTAGTATTGATTTCCTCTCATTAACAATAACATGTGCGATAGGGGAGAATTTAGATACTGTCCTTGTGTGAATACTAGAAAGATCAGGAGTCCGCGGGCCATAAGGGTGACCGAAAAGAGCAAGTTTGATAACTATATATAGATGAAGGAAACTAGATACATAAAATCGAGTGGCCAAATGAATGTTTGCCGTCTTCTGTTCCAAATGTCCAGTCCCTGCCTGTATCTTCTGTGACGAAGTGACAGGCCCATCGACCAAAACATCCATCCTGGTTTATACCGACAACATAGACTTAGTCTACCTAAGCAAGACCGGCAGCCTGAATAGCGAAAGTGGCTGCAGCCTCAGCACTGCTACCGTAGCTAATGTGGCTACCGGTGGCACCACCATCTCCACCACCGCCGCAGATCTGATCAGCAGTGCCACAGAACTGCTTAACCTTATCTGTGGGAAGTTTGCCAACTGCTGTGCGCTTCAGTGGGTCTCCGAACAGAACCGCGCCACTAACATCCTCGGCTGAAAGGCCCTTATTGAACGCATTGTGAACTACCATAGCACCCTGTGAGTAGCCAGAGACAATGACCTTGGTGTTGGGGCACAGAGACTTGGCCTGCTTGACCAGCGCTGCCATCTTCTCACCACCATCGCCACCAAGGTTGACATTACCAGCGGCAGATGCGGGATAGTCGACACCCTGGACAGTAACGCGGTCGGCACCGAGCTTGCTACGGATAGCCTTGAACATGGGTGGCCCAGAGACAGTGCCTACGTTGCCCATCTCGCCCGTTCCGCGAGCAAAGACGATTGTCATGTCTGTGCAACAGTTCTTGTCCACGACGCCGTTTTCGGATCCTCCGAGAAGGCCGGAAGAAGCCTGTTGCGGTTTGCAGTTTCCTCCAGAGCCACCAGAGCCACCAGTGCTGTTTCCTCCAGGTATGGCTGGAGTCGCTGGTGTTGCTGGCGTTGATGGTGTCTCGGTATCGGGAGAAGCAGGTGGTGCAACTTCGTCGCTGCCAGCACTAGAGCCTCCACCAAGGCCTCCGGTCAATCCGCTGAGCCAGTTCATCCACGAGGAACCGCCAGTGCCAATGCCAGTGTCGCTACCAGCAGCTTTGCGTGAGGATCCGATCCCTCCAAGACCTGGCAGACTTGAACCTCCGCCAAGGCCAGGGAAGCTTGAACCTCCACCTAGACTGGGCAAGCTAGTAGGTAGAGTGAGGCCTCCTCCAAGGCCAGAACCTCCTCCTAGTCCCGGGAAACCAGAACCTCCTCCTAGACTAGGGAAGCCAGTAGGTCGAGCAAAACCTCCTCCGAGACCTCCTCCAAGACCAGGAAAGCCAGAACCCCCTCCAAGGCTTGGGAGTTTGGTAGGAAGGGTCAAACCACCACCCCCAAGACCAGGTAGACCAGAGCCTCCTCCAAGGCCAGGGAGACCAGAACCCCCACCAAAACTAGGCAGGCTTGATCCTCCGCCCAGGCCTGGAAAGAGACCACCAAGTCCAGAGCCACCGCCGGTGCCGATGCCAGCACCGGTATCAGAGCCCGCGCCGGGCTCCGTGGTAGAAGGCAACTCCTGAGGATACGGATACGCAGCCGCGACACTCGCAAGCGCCAAAATATGAGCAGCGTGATACTTCATATTGAATCGAGTTTACACCAAAGACGATCTGAAATCTCGATATGGTCAAAAAAAAGAATTCTCTGTTTGTGAAGAGAGAAAAAATGGATGCGCTATATCCCGATGAACGAACGGCAGGAAAGGCTTGAAGACAAAGCAAAAAAGATGGGTACGAGGTGTGCACTGCACGAGAGAAACAAGGCGGAGAAGTGAATGTAGGATCGAAAGTCGATGCCTTCTCTAGCACTGGGGGGCTACACCACTACCCTTCTTATACCCACGACGTGGCGAGAGATACAGTATGTACATATACATATGTGCCGAGGACCAACTGTCCCGGTGACTGATCATCTGCTGGTACGATTTTTTTGAAACATTCGTTTTCTTTGCGGACAAAAGAAAAAGGTGATGAAAGGGAGGTGCGGAATACTACGCACCACGCCAACGTTTGCTGCAGGGCTTTACTACCTGATGTTTAGCGTGGGACGTGGTAGTTGTTGTCCCCGCGGATCGACACATCTTTGCTAGGCTTTGTGTATATGACCAGGTTTGCCGTTGATCTTCATGTTTCACATATCATGGCATGGGGCTTGATAGGCACACTGAAAGGCATTGGGCCTGTCGACTAGTGTTGCCGTTACGTTAGCGGCGGGCGCATCATCAATCATTATGGGATAGTTTGTTTCGCGGGCCGCGGGCTAGCGACTATCATCTCACCATGGACATTGCGAGGTCTGCTTTGTCGTCCGAGGAAATGTGATTTGTTACTTGCAGTATGCATACAATAGAGGGTCTTGTCGGAGAATTGAATCATCGTAATACACCTTCAAACTTCGCTACAGAAAGGAAATATCGTCCATTTAAGGCACGACCAGATGTTGTGCGCGGTGTAAAAACCTAAGATTCGTCGGTTCCTCGATCCACAGCAGCAAACCTGTTTTCCTCTTTCATATTCGCTTTCTGAAGAATCCTGTTTGAGAAAGTACATGGGAAGCATGAAACGGCATAATGCACCAAGCAATTAAATACCTGATATGACCACTGTGCAAATTAGCTAGGGTTCTGGAGACCCTGTGGCGTAGGGCTACTAGTGCTTCCCATGTCGGCCATGCGACATGCCTCGGCATTCCTCATGTACATCGTTTCATGATGCTCCTAGTGCAACATCATCTCTCAACCATTCAGTGCTGGTAGCCTTCTCTCAATGGAAATAAGACGCCGCGATACCTGTACACCGGACGATGAGGTCAGAGTTCATGTCGTCCTTGCACCACTTCGAACAAAACGTACCATCACGACGTTCGAGCTCGCATTGCCGCCGCAACTTCTTTGGTCGCGTTGTAACCGTACAGCCAAGGTTGCACCTCGGGGCATGTCCAGCGACTCGGGAATGCGCCTTCTGGACCTTTGCCTAGTTGCCTAAGCATTGTGGCGTCACGAATTGCTTGTTCTGGTCCATCACGTAGATGAAAGTCTTTTCGCTGCTTGAATGTTTCCCGCGCAATACTCTCACTCCTTGCTTTTCGCAATTGCTGGAAGAGCTGTATACTCTCCGGTAGTTGTGATTTTGATTTGTAGTGTTCTGGGGCGAGAAGCAAGCCCAAGACTGCACCGTCTTCGATGGACGAGTTGGCACCCTGGGCAAGATACGGGAGCATCGGGTGACATGAGTCGCCAATTAGTACGAGGTTATTTTGTGGGTTGACCCACGAGTCCATCTCGGCACGGTGCATCAGTTTCCACTTGTCCACTCTGTCGACACATTCAAGCAGCTGAGTTAACCTAAAACGTACGTGTCAGTGGCTTATGCAATGGATGAGGCAAGTGGGGTAGCCTACACGGGATCCCATCCCTCAAACAGCCTCCTCATTTCATCCAAATTGCCCTGCATCCTCGCCACCCCTTCGTCCAGGTCGTCGGGGACGAGCAGAACGACATTGTACATGTTCCCTCCGCGGATGCTGTAGGCTACTGCGTGCGCATCAGGTCCCGCCCAAAATCGGCATGCGGGTGTCTGCACCATCTCCTTCAATTTAGGGTCGCCAATTTGATCAACGCTGAGCACTATACGGAACGCAAGATCTCCAGTTGGCAGGGGAGGGTCATTGCGTCCGAGCATGGTAGACCGACAAGAGGACCAGAGCCCATCAGCTCCGACAATGAGATCGGCCTCATAAGTTTGACCTTGGTATGATTTTACACGTGCTCTGTCGCCAGGAGCGCTGCCAAAGTCCATGCCATTCACCTTTGCATCCAAAACAACGTGCACACCTAGCTCTTTTACTCTTCTTACCAGAGCTTGCTGTAAATCCACACGGTGACAGTCTGAGAACGGTGCACCATATTTCCGACGAATGTTTGTGCCGAAATTATCTTCGTGTGCGAGAGTCTCGCCTCGATAGTTGTACACTGTAAGCGTAGTGGGCTCACACACTTGATCCCCAATGGTGTCATATACGGACCATTGCTGAAGCAGACGTGTTGCGTTTGGTGTCAACTGGAGACCGGCGCCGACCTAACAAGATGTTCAGTCACCCTATTTGGTGCTCGAGGATGTTGCGCCCACCTCAGCAAGCTCCTTCGCGGCCTCTAACACTATGACAGAATGACCTGAAAGTGCGCATTGTATCGCAGCTGCGAGACCCGACAGCCCTGCACCCACGATGATTATGTCTAATCGGACCGACATTTTCGATAGAGCAAAGACACGAAAGCTTGCAATCATCTTTGGAAAGGAAGCAGGAGGGGGAAGACTTGGCAGAGCCTGTCACTGGTCCGTCCCCGCCACTCGCATGTCCCTTGCGTTCCCACTCAGCCACAGTAGTTGATTGGACCAATCCTTTCTAGAAGCAATCCCAGCCTGTGCAGCGATGACGGCCTTTGTGCCTCTTGAAGTAATTGACACAAGTAATGGCCTTACAGTGGGTGGGAACGATCTCAACAGTAGGATCTGCCAGGTCCCTCGCCTTGCAGATTACTATATCTCTCTCGTAACGAAGTACAATACAGTACGAGGAGATGGAAGCAGCACCAGTACTTCTCAAGGGATGTAGTTTCATGGTTAGCTTCTTTCCATGACCACTGTTTATAGAAGAAACATGTGGCTGTAATCCCATATCTGTGTGAATCGATGGGATCAAGGTTGGAAGAGGTCTTGTTTGATCATTTTCTCCAGTCTGGTAGTGAACAAAATGCCGAAGATGGGAAAGTGGACCGAAAAATGCCATTTCAGGCGGATCGCCAAAACGGGACAAAGGGTACAAAGCGTTGGCAGGGCCTAAACCTCGAAGCCTGTGGAATAACAACCTTAGCTCTGGTGCAGGTATTCGGCCATTGGCGGTGAGGGCCATTGTATCGATACGGCTATGAGGTGTCCATTCTAGATTGGGGACCACAGTGTCTAGGTTGGTGCTGTCAATATACATGGTGCTGAGACGGGCCCGAGGCCAGGTTGGTGGCTCTGAGGCTGTACAGCGTATGTCATGGCTGGCATCGTGACACTCGATGCTGAAGCTATCAAGACAGGCTTGCCAGTCTCCTCCTCGATAGTGCTGCTGCCGCCGCCAGTCATCAATATGGGCCTTGATAGCGGCCCAAGTGATTTGAATATGGTTGCACAACTCAACCGATCCCTGTTGTCCTGGACATCGTCGTTTTCACCAATAGCCTGAATATTGCCTGTTTTCGAAGGAAAATTCACAAGCGGAGTGAAGACTGTCGCAGGCATAGCAGTGGAGCTTGCGGCAAAGCCGAATATACTCTGCAAAATCTTCGACCCAGGCACTTCTCGGCCGGAATTTGCAGCGATCAGAGTATCGAGGGTCACAGGTTTCATTCCATTGCCTGCAGTCAGTGCACCGGCCATCCCTCTGTATTAGCCGCCGAAACAGGCCTTTTGGAACCTCCGAGAGCAGGCTAGGATGATATAGATCGGAAAATGGGTCTTGCCGCAGCAGTTGATTGCCAATGATGTAAAGAAATTTTCTTGAAGCCATCCGGAGACAAGACAACGTAACGACATCGTCGTGTAAAGAGTCGAGAATACAGAGGAGGAGTTCATCTGGAAACCGGCTAGTAAGGGGACAGAAACGACTGTTGTACACCTGAGCGGCTATAAGCGGGTCCATGTTACATTGTAACTTGTGTAAGGCGGCGAGGAGTGCTTGCACTTGTTCATTGTTCCGTTTCTCCACGTTGTCGATGAACTCACGTTCTTCGTGGTGCAGGGCGACAATGGACGCTTTGACCTTTTGATCATCCTGTTTCGCTGGGTTCTTGATGAGATTGCGTTCCTCACGCCACCTTTTCATCGTTTGTAGAAAAGAACGCATTTTGAATTCTTACTTGTGTTGCGCTTGGACAGATATTCGGAGGGGTGTGAGGCTAGCGAGTGAAGAGCAAGCGGGCATGGAGTCAGCGGGCAAGTCCCTTTATCTGAGCTTTATCTTTGAAACTGATGAAACCTTTCTCTGCAGAAGTTACGCGAAAGCTCGACGCAAAATATACAAGTCCCAACGTAGCTCGGACTGAGACACTCCACCGTTCCCAATCGGATTTGGGGGCGGCCAATCAAAGAACAATGAGGTGTCCGGGAAGTATAAGTTAAAGTGTTGCTTGTTTGGTTGTTTCTGAGTCTGCACCAACGTTTTCGTGGACTTAGCGATATCTCTTGGTCCAGGTTGTATGGGGACTATCGACCACGGTTGTATGGGGACTATCGACCACGGTTGTATGGGGACTATCGACCATGGTTGCTGACGGTCTGCCGGTATGTTGGTCGACTAGTTTCATACGAAGCATCCGCACTTGTAGGTAGACTGATTCTAGATTGAAAATCCAAGCGACTTGTTCGATTGCTTGGTGATACTCCAGATTGACGTCGTTTTGACTGCGCGGGTTGATATGAAACTGCCCCACATCTGAAGAAAGATCTGGTTCCAGTTCGGAGAACGAAGCGATTTTCAAGATAGGAAGGTGATCTGGCTAGCACTTCCTGATTGTCTTGATGAATGTGAAGCTACCGCGCCTTCGGAGATGGATTGGTTCAATTGAAAAGCTGAGCGATGACTTGAAGATGTGACTAGCGCCGCGTCGAGTGTTCTCGTATTTGGAAAAGATTCCAGTCTAGTAGTATAACTGCCTCCTGACATCGGATTTACGGTGGCTTCCTTTGGCAAGGGAAGAACCAAGTGAAGGTCTGATCTTTGCTATCCGCTTTATGATGTTGTAGCGGACCCACCAGTTAATGCACAAATGTGCAATGCAGGGTACGCCCATTAGTTGGAGCGTCTGACCCGTCAGACCGATGCCCGGCCCAGCCAAGGTTTTACCCTCGACCAGGTGTTGATGTCAGGATTGATGGCGAAACGGTTATTCCTTACGTTTTCCTTCATGAGGTTTATTGTACGTAGTTTTGCCTTCACTCGACGGGTTTTAACGCGTTGTTCCTTCGTGGCTTTACGCTTGCGTTTCCTCTTCCAGGCCGTGCCTGAGCTCGGCAATCATCCGGGCGCTCTCACCCGCGGTGCGCTTGCACTCGGCAGCGGTCCTCCAGGCGTCAGCCATCATCCGCTCGAGGGCGGTCACCCTGTCCTCGGCGGCAGCGAGCTGCTCGCGGGGCCTCTCAGCGGTGTCCTCGGCGGCGGCGGCATCGGCTTTGGCGGCGGCGAGGGCCTCATCCTCCTTCTTGAGCTGCCGAAGCAGGTTCTGGTCCACCAACAGAACTGCTCTCAAAAACCCTCCCTGCCGATCAGGATCGGTCAGGGCGTCACGAATTGTCTTGTCCCAAAAGACAACAAAGCGAGCGGACAGCCGCATCCAGAATAGGACCCACAAGGGCCATAGGAGCAAGGTGGCCAGAACCCAGGTCTGGCGAGCCAGTCGGGCGTTGGATTCGATCTTGCTCATCACATCCCTCATCTTGCCCATCTCCTCCGCCATCTTCTCCATCTCCTTCACCACCACCATCATCTCCTCTGCGGCATGAAAGGGGGCTTCAACCCCAGAGACGAAAGAGAAAACAAGAAAAACGAGAAAGAGAAGCTTCATCGTCTTCATCATTATCGTCGTCATCATCATTATCGTCGTTATCGTCGTTATCGTCGTCTTTGTCTTCGTCGTTGTTGTTGTTGCTGCTGCTGGTACTGCTGCTACGTGCGTCGTGACGAGAAGCCTGCAGAAAACCACAGCGAGGCTTCGACGGTTTGTTTACCTCGAGCTCGTGGGTTCCTGCCATTGTTTCTGTGTTGTGGTTGCTTTCCTCACTGATCTGTCTGTTGTGGAAGGAACTCTCTTCACGGATTACGAATACGCCAAGCTCACTAAACACTGAACAGCAATGTTAGCATTGGCAGCGAGATGACGACTAACGGGATTGAAAAGGTACACGTACAGGATTTTATTTGCTGATGTGTGTAGTAGATACAGTCATCTTGTGCAAATGCAAAGGCAATCAAGGTATATGTTGAAGTAGTGATTGATTGATTGATTGGCCAGATAATGCAGTGTGAAACCGCAGTCTTCAGATGCCATATTTGCTATGTGCGCTCAAAGATGCAATTCAATGTGTCGCTATATTCATACACTTCCCCTCCATACTGGCTACTATCCTTTTTGCTTCGTCCTCTTACTACATCAAAACTACTCTCTAGTACTGACCAGCCGCCGCCTGGCATGCCTTGAGTTGGTCAAGGTACCATCCACAGATAGTCAAGCTGCCCTGGTTCTCGTCCATGCACTTGCGGAAGCTCTGGACGTCGTTTGCGCAGGGACCCGACTGTGCCATTTGAGCGGATGCCTGGTGCTGTGCGGCGAAGTCGGTATTTTGGGGCGCGGCGTCGGCAGGGGCGGAAGAACCACCGCTGAAGAGACCGCCAATTGCGTGGCCGATTGAAGATCCTACTGCGACACCGCTGCAAGCATGTCAGTTCAGTGTTCAAATTACAAAGTGGGGTGCCTGGCATTCGTGGCGCAAATTGATCCAAGTCAAATATGGTTGCCTGGGACTACTTACGCAGCAGTGCTAGCCATCTGTCCAAACAGACCAGGTCCCTGAGGTGTAGGAGCCTGCGCCTGCTGAACGGGCGCATGAGTGGGAGCATGCTGGGCGGGAGCCGCAGCAGTCGAGTGAGGGCGCGATGACGCAGGCGCAGGCGCAGTGGTAGCCTGCCTGGCTGCTGGGACTTGAGGGCGGCGGGGAGGAGCGGTTCCGGAACGTTGGCGAGGCATTTTGTTGTTCTTGTGATGTGGTTGTTATGCGTTCGGGTGTTGTGTTTGCGATACGTGGTAGAATTGATGTTGCGATGGCAAATTGGAGATGTCAACCACCGAGGTTCGAGAAACATCGTCGGTGTTAGCGCATTTTAGACGGCTTGGCATGCATGTTTGTCATGGACATGTTGATTGGCTCCTAGTCTTCATGCCCCTGTAATTACGCCATTCACGTGGCTGCTATGTTTTACTTCACCTATAGTGCTCGGGCTAAGTATTAGAGTAGTCTAGTCTAGTCTCACGGCCAAATGCCGGTGCTCATGCATTGCATTCGATAGTATGAATATTGGAGCTTGTTACCAGAACCGATAGCTGGATTGCAGATACTGCTCTATGTCCGGGCCAAGTTCACGTTTAGCACACGTCCTCAATCTCGACGTCGCCCCCAGACCTCGGTCCCAGATCAGAGCGTAATGTGCGATTAAATAGCTCTTTGAGCATCTCAAAGCAGATCCCCGACAATGCAGCATCGTATCGCCCCTTGCTAAGCTCATCTCTGATGAAAGCATCTGTCGAATGGGTTAGTACGCCGGGAAAACTTCTAGCAGACACGACCAGGTATACTCACGTTGGGCCCAGGCTGGTTCATAGAAGGAAAAGGTAACACCTGCCTCATCCAGTGACTTTCTAATCAGGTCTCGGCCTCCTGGTGGTACGTGCGTGTCCATCTTGCCGAATATCATGACAAGCTCGCCTTTGATGTCTTTACAGCGAGCAAGCGAGTCGTCTTTTTTGCCCTTTCCCAGCGTACCGCTGTGGATATCGGTTGCAAAGTAGCAAATTGCTGCAGAGACACGTGGATCGAGAGCGCAACGGTATGCCAAGTGGCCTCCTAGACACATGCCTGCGAAGACAATGAGCTGCGTACTTGTCCCTGATGAGAAATCAATACTTGCCAGTAGCGCCGATTCTTCCATTGCATGTTGGCATTGCGAGTAATGCGTCTACCGAAAGAGAGGCATCCTCGTCATAAGCTTGGACCGTCTTTGTGACTTTCCATTCATTGCCCTGGTCAGTACCAGGGACGTCGTAGGCAAGTGGTTCAGGTCCAGTAAACTCATGGTAGGAAGATGGCGCTGCGACAATGTAGCCTTGGGAAGCGATTTGTCGTGCAAAGCGAGCAACGGGCCCAGTCACTGTAAGAATATCAGCAAAAATCCAAGCGTAATTCTTTTCTCAACCAATCAAAAACAACGTGCACAATGAAGAATCGAAATTACCTTGATAAATTTCGGAGAAGACTACGACACCGGGAAACTTTGCTTTGGGGTAGTTTGCAATGGTGGGGTGGAAGATGAAGATCCCTGGAACGTCAGTTGAGCTGCCGCCACCAATGTACACAAGGACCACAAACTCATGTCACCACCTGCCTGGGTGGGCACATCTTTGTGTGTTTCCGTAATGAGCATTGTGATGTTAATTCAGCGTGGCTGTATGTAGCGTCTGCTGTCTATTCAACGCGTAGGCGTGAGAGTTTGAGAATGCCGTTGAAAGTGGGGTGGTGGGGTACGTAAGTTTAGCACGGTTCATGCCGCTGAGCTGAACGGGAGAACGTGGCTGTGGTAATCAACGAGTCCGGCAGCAAAAAAAGCATCTCTAAGTCAGGCATTAGGCAACGCTTATTTCCCTATGTGATGCTACTTTTTTAAATTCGACGAAATCCAGCATTTCCGCGGGGAAAGCCGATTGATTACAACATGACTAGTAGAGTTGTTTCCCGCGGAGTGCGGTGGGATGGAGGCAACCGTTCAGGGCTCTTGGTCGACCGAAATACCCAGATGAAAACAGCCCCTATTAAACCAAAGCTATCATTTGCAATCACCCATCTTCACCACAACGTAGTCAAGTTATTTTTCTATATGTAAAAACATTAGACTTCACGTACAGAGTAGAGTAATATGCTGGAAGATGATATTACTTGATGGTATCAGTATAGTCACACCTCGAGCTTTGTTGGTGGCTGTAGTTTTCACCCAAATATTCAGTCGACCGAGAGCCTTACCCCACGAACGAGTCTACACTACTCAAGCCGAGTCATTCTTATCGTCTTGTATGGACATCATTTTAGTCTCAAACAATGGATAAGGGGACGCGCATGGTCTACAAGCTGAGGCGAACGGGGAAGCGAGCCAGCACGGAAGCCAATTCGATGGAAAACGGGGCCGGGGACAGCGGGGAGGCGGGGAGCGGGCTAGGGCGCGATCTGCGCTACTGACGCCACGGTACGTACGCCATATGTGCCAACGTATTATGCCCTGCCAATGACAACAGAGTAGCTGAAGGACTCTGTACCAACCAACGCGTGTTTCTAGTGATAGTAAAAGTTACTTTTTTTAAAGTTTGCGATCAGGGTGCGAGTCTTCGAGAGCTGTCGACAATAGCTGTGATTCGCTTAATTCTCCTTATCCTGGGAAACTCCTGTGCCCCAACAAGGCTGATTGGCTGGGCAACATACGATTACAGACATGGTGTAGCAGTTCGGAGCCTTTCACGGTGAGACTTCCGATTAATTAATGGCGTGTCCTGGAGTATCTTGTTCAACAGCGGGAGCGAACACCCTTATCGATCAAAGCTACGGGACGCTCCAGCTACTATGTATGTGATGATGCTTGTCTATACAGGTTTTGAGAGTCATTGTTGCCCAGCATCTCCATCTTTATGGTGCAAATGTGGTGGCAGGTGGCTGTACTAAAAGCCGCATGCCAAGTTTATCTGACATGGGCGCCCTGGATGACGAATAGACCTGACAAGGAGTTTGGATTGTACTGCGTCGTAGCCTGCTCCATGCCAGACAGCGAAGCCGCAACAAAGTGCACTACTACACGGAGAAGGACCAAGTGGAGGATGGAGATAGAAGAACTTCGGGTTTTATATCTATATATTCATCTTGATATAGGGAACAAGACATGGATAACGATGATGCAACGTGAACTCTCGGCTTTGCAAGGGCTTTTTTAGAAATCACGCACAGGCCACAATGCCCCGTACTAAAGATGAACGTGCTGGGTATGACAGGTTTAGTGGCAACCTTCATCTATTGCGAAGCTGTAAAGACGCCGCTAGTTTTTTTGCTCAGACGAGAGCCGGTCAGCTTACTTGTCGGACATGTGTCCCAAATAGCGCACCTGGCTAGCCATGTGCGCATTAGACGAGTGGCTGTATCTCTGGTTGCTAATAAATGGAACCGAGATGTCGTTTGCATGGCGAGTCACGGGCGCGACATACAAGGTCTCGAAGAGCCCTTGTCAGAAGGGTACCTGCTAATTTGATCTCGGAATTCTGAGTGTCCGTATGCACCTTAAGACTGCGAGAACCCCTGTGTCTTGTTGAGCCATCCGACCTAAAGTCAGTTCTGTCTGCGCAACATAAGTGCATGTTCAATCTGGATTGAGCATCATGGCCAACGCCCAAGATGCGGTTAGTAGAGAGACTCGAGTACGTGGAAGAAAGGAAAAACCTACCGCTGCTGCAAACACACAGGTCACTAATTCCGTGCAGGCTCCTGTTACTATCGGCCTTGTCGCCCTCTTTACAGTCCTTTCAAGCGTCTGCGTAGTCCTTCGATTCTACACAAGGTGACCAAGATGAAGCAAAGAAACCGGGCGAGTAGCAGTCTAACAGGCATGGTAGGAGGATGATACTACACTTTGTCGGGCCCGACGATTACATGATCTTGGTTGCGCACATTCTGAGCCTTGCGCAGTCTGGTATCAATTTCGCAATGATGATAGCTGGTGGCGGAGGACAACACATTGAGCATGTGCGGGACAAATTGCCAACCTTCAACCGGGTAAGAAGAAGCCGCGTTGCAGACGATTTAGTCGGTACACCTGATACTAACCCGGCGCAGTTGATGCTGGCTGCGACGGCAGTCTACAACGCAGCGCAGATTGCGACCAAAATCTCGCTTCTCATCCAGTACTGCACCATTTTTCCCGGCCGAGCAATGCGACTCATCTCGCAGTGGGGCATTGGTCTGCTTATTTTATGGGGGATAGCTCAGCAGTAAGTTGCAGCCGTGGGGAGACTGAGCCAAAGTCAATACTAACAAAGTAACCTTTAAAGGACATTGACACCATGCATCTGCGCGTATGAGTCGATTACCACTCTGACGCCAGAAACTTGCATCCACGACGACTTGTAAGCGAATGGTGCACCAGCATGTGTACAAATGACGGAGATTTTGAGCTCTGTTGCTGACCGTCGGTAGACCGCTTGCGCTCAATGCCATTATCAACATGGTGACGGATTTCCTGATTCTTATCATCCCTGTCAAGCCTGTGCTTGGGTTGCAAATCAATTGGATGCGCAAGACGTACCTCCTAGTTGTTATGGGTATGGGCTTGGGGTTAGTGTCATACGTTCATGTGTAGCTGTGGAGAGGTGCTAACCAAGCGTAGTGTATGCATCATCTCCGCCGTACGGCTCGACATGCTGGTTGGACGTAAGAACGACTGGACCGACGTAACATGGAAAATAGCGTCCATCACATACTTGTCGACAATGGAAACAAGCCTGGGAATAATGTGTGCCTGCATCCCGGCGCTTCGGCCCCTGATGAAGAGAGTGATACCAAATATGCTGGGATCAAGTGCAAAGGACACGACGGATGGTGCGATGCAATACGGAAGCAGAGGCACAAGGCTGGCCGAAGCAAGCGGTACCAAAACAAAAGCTAGCCTGGTAAATGGCATTTACGTACAAAAAGACGTCCAATTTCATAGCACGACGGAGCTCAGGGATGTTTCGGCTAAAGGACCGTACCCGGCCTCTGACCGATCATCCGACGATGAGATAAGCTTGGAACGGGCCTTCCCGCCGACAATGGCGAAACCATAGTACGACTCGCGTGGGTCGTTTTGCGTTTACAAGTCATGAGTAGATTCTCCTCATTGCTGTGAGGACATATGGTAATTAGTTCAGCATGTCTCAGTTGCATCAATTACCATGGTGGTGAGACTGTGACCCAACGCTTGAAACAAACAAGCGACGCCGTTTTTGGAGGAAGCGCGGATAGACGCCAGTACCAGTGCGGCCGCCGTCGCCGCCGCTACCGCCGACGATTCGGCTTTGTATCTTCAATGTCATGCAACGCTACCTTTGTTATGCACACCACACGGTGCGGTTATAACGAAGTGGCGAGGCATTGCCGCGGCTGGGCAATTCCTCATAGCAGCAGGTGCAAGATGGGGTACATGTACAAGTACTTGCATAGGTACATGGCTTATATTGTACGCAGTAAGTACATAGTAGGTGATGGCACGTCATTGCTCCAGGTTAGGGACCAAGGGCAGGAGAATTAAATTTGGACTACAAGGGGGCGGAGGGCCGGATAAGTGCACTGGGAGAGGCTTGTTCCGAGAATATGACAGCTCGGTAGTGGGGCACATAAAGGGCCGATGGGGCAGTTTTGGCGTTAGAGATGCGCGATGATGTCAGACATCACAGAGTTTGTCGGGTGTGGTGGTGTTGAAGGGCATCAACGCGCGAACTACTTTGCATATGACGCGACGGTTGCGGCGGCACTTTTGGCAACGGCTGTGTGTGTGAGTGGGTGGGTGTTGGTCTGAGCCGAGGCGGTGCGGGTCGTCCGCCAGGCGTGGATTGAGGCTGGGTAGGGTCTCACCGCTAATGGCGCCATTTCGGCGGTGGTTTTCAAGCTGGTTGGGATAGCGATGATGAAAGAAAGGCGGAGGGTAAGCAGATCATGGCTGATGCATCTGTGCTTTGGTCCCTTTGGCCCGGGAATTTGGCAACCCCTATTCCCGTGGGTTGTAGTGTAGGTGTAAGTATACATGGATATGTATGAATACTGTTGCCAAGTACGTATTTCTCATCAACATGGATTGTGGTGCTGTTCAAGCCATGGTGTTCCAAAGCGAACATGTGCACACATGGTTTGCATACTCGGTCGTGCATGGCGGTGAGGGGCAGAGAAAGCCGAGGCAAGCCATGGGTTGCCAGAACAGGGAGTGGGTGAAGCCGTTAGGGGTTGCAATAGGCCAGTGGTGTGCAGCAAGGCGGCGCAGCCATTGGCGGTGGGCAGAGCAGTAGGTCAGTAGCTAGAGAGAGTGCGGTCACGGTGGACAGGGCGGGTGGTGTGGCAGCGGCAGGTGTACAGTAGTAGGAGTGGTAATGTCGAGACGGAGAGGGCATGGTGTTGAGGGGTCTGCAGGGTCGACCAGCTGTCACGTAAAGGGCAGGTGGGGGTGGGCGCCGGCGTTGGTCATGGATCCAATCCAAACAACATGTCAGCCTCACAAAACGTGGCTTGAGCCGCTGCACGGGGACAGAGGGAGAGGGAAGAGGGGAGAGGGGAGAGATGGGGCGGTAGGCAGAGGTACCCGATGGCGGCCTCGAGCCATGCGTCTCCTCTACGCAAGTACTTGAGCATATCCATGGCTTCGTCGTCAGTCGCAGAAGCGGCACTGCTATGTCATGTCGCAGCATCTGCTGTCTGCTATCAAATCGGCTCGCAGACACCCTGGTCGGGAAGTCGGGTCAGTGCGCCGCCTCCCTGCACGAGGGCGTGTCGTGGATGGCTCCGCTCAGCGGAGACGCAGATGCAGATGGAGTCGAGTGGACCATGTCGCGCTACTACTACTCTACTACTGATGCTTCCCTGTCCTTCCTCGAGTCCATGTCTGATATACCCCAAAAGCCGCGTGCTGCTCACTTCGCCCGTCAACGTCGCAACCAGCGCTGATACAGCTGTCTTGTTGGGCCATGCCGTCCAACACAATTAAACTTTGGCCACGAACGGAAGCTGCGGGCCAGGGTCCAGCGAATCTGCACACATGGACGCGTCTACTGACTGCCCGACGACCCTGTGCCGCCTATATCAAAACCACCAGGGTCATATCCGCCGCTGTAACTAGTAGTACGTACATACATACATACGATGTGTGTGAGGATGCATGTCCGTCCGTCTGTCTGGAGAGACATACATACATATACCACACACATACATACATACATACATATACATATACACCACCGTGGGCGTTGCTCATGTGATGCGCCGTGTGACGCCCAGCCAACGGGCGTGCCGCTCACGACAACAAAAAATGTGTTCTGGTCGTGCAGCGATATGGCGTCAGGGCTCGTCGCATGGTGGCCCGAGTGACCAGCAACCTCATGCGCCAGATGCTCGGCAAGGCCGCACCGCCGCAAGGGCCGGCTGTCGTTCTGGTCGCAACGCCCGCCAGGGTCATCGGCTGCGGAGAGCGAGTGAGATAGAGAGCGAGAGAGCGCGTGTTGTTGTTGTTTTGGTGGCGGTGGTCGAGGGCGAGGGTAAGCAAGCAGAGGCGGTCGTCGTCTGTCAGATTCAACACAGGGATGCCACAGAGGCACATTCACTAGCGCTATCTTGCTGGGATCCAATCACAGCCTGCAGGGGTTCCATTGCCATGCCAGCCCAGTCAGTGTGTCGAGCAGCTTTTGATGCCCTTTCCAGCTGCTTTTGGGCTGCCTGCGCTGCCTGCCTGTCTGCCCATCATCCACCGCCCGTACCGTGGGTGCTCTCGTCCGCCCTCCCCGCGCCCTTCATCATCAAGCCCTCACCCTGCTCCTGCTCCTGCTCCCCTCCACATCCCATCCCATCCCATCCCCATCCTATCCTATCCTCGACTCTGCCACTCCTGTCCCACGACCAAACCCCCATCGCCAGACTAAGTCCTGCTAGCCCCTCCACCTCTCCCGCCGCCGCGACAGGACGGCATTCCACATTGGGACCCCATCTAATTTCCTCCTCCTCACCTGCCTGTCCACCCATCCTCCTCTCCCGACTCTGTTGTTCGACATTTGAAAAATTCCCCTGCGCGAATCAGCGCTGCCCTTCATTTTTTTTTGTTTGGCCTCTCAGCTGCCCTTTTGGCCAGTGCGCCCGTCTCGGGTCGTCCTTTTTTTCCTGGCCACTATCTCGCTGTCCCGGACGCCCGCTGCACTTGCTACTGCACCTCTCTTTGGCCCACGTCTGGAACACGCCGCTTGGCTTGCTGCCTCTGTGCTACCGTCTGCCGCCAGTGCGCTGCACCCCCTGGGCCGCTGCATAATATCTGTCTGTCCGCCGCCGTTTGCTTCGTTACCTAGGTCCACCCGTCGAGGGCATCCGACCGAGTCCTACTGTACTCTACGTGCGTACCTCGACTCCAATCCCCCACCGCCAAGACATGGTTGGCTCTCTCGCCTCCAGTCACTGCCCATTCCCTCCACCCCCCCCTCTATCCAAACATCGCCCATTGCTAACTTGGTCCCAGACCCTAGGTCGCCCCGTCCGACAGCGGAGGCGCCTCGCCAATTTCCCTCCCCCCCCCGCGGCACAAAAGTTTCAAGTGGGCAACCCTCGCCGAAGCTCACGGCCTCCCGCCCTCCCCCGTTCCGCGCCTTCCCCCCAAAAGAACCTCGTGCAATACACACACAGCCGGCGGGCCCTATATGCAGTCGCGGTCTGCTAGTCTATCAACATGGACACCGAAGATGGCCAGCTCTTCATAAGGGTGCGACACACTTGCAATGCCCGGCTCTAAACAAGACACACATTGACACGGCTCCAGAACTTGGCGTACTTTGTGCGAACACACGAAAAGGCTCTTGCCAACGCTCTCCAGCTGCAGCGCCAAAACCCCAGAAATGGCCAAGCCATTGCTTCTCCCTCGTCGCCCAGTGGCCCCGCTAGCCCTCCCTCGTCTGCGTCGTCATCATCGAGCGTCTGGGCAGCAGCATTGTCGCTGCCCTCCCTAACCTTTACCTCGCAGTCGATCAAGCCAGCAAAGCTCACACTAACACCCCACCATCTCTTTTACATCCTCTCCCGCTTCGAGGATCTGGGCATCCCTGTCGGCCCTATGAACGTGCGTTTAGAAAACATTCACACCGATGCCTCGCCCACCAACTATGTCTCCTTCCTTGGTAGCGCCCAGCGCAACAAGACAAAGTCTTCCGATCGCGACTCCATACATTCAGTGTCCAGCGTTCGCAGCGTGATGTCAGGCATGTCCTCACTTTGGTCGACCTTCCGTATCGGATCCACCAGTGAAGCAAAAGCAGAAAAGCAAAAGGCCCAGCTCCAGGAAGACTTGAGATATCTATATTCTGCCTTTACCAAGATCCCATGCTTGAGGCTTTCTCCTGACCACAAAGCCCGTCTGATTGCGGGATATGAAGAGTTTCCATTCGACACTGCGGTCCCCCTATTCGCTTTTAAGAATGTCACAGCACTTGAGATTCATGACGTAGACTTTCGACAGTTCTATGGCTGGGACCGCCTGGCCGAGAACCTTCGTAGTCTGACTGTTAAGCGGGCAGGTGTTGAGGATCCTGCTGACCTGCTCATCAATATCGTTTTGGATGATATTGACAAGCGTCGCAGACGTTCGGCCAAAACAAGCGCGCCTTGGTCTACTGCAAGCCCACCCCCCAAGCATGCTCAGCTCGCTCGATCAGAGTCGCCGCCAACATCGCCCACTGCCGCCGGCAAGCAGAGCACGAGCCCGAGGGGGGCGGCAGTAACCCGCGAGAACTCTACCAGGTCTGGTCAGCGCCAGCGGAGTACATCTCCATCGCGCCCACCTAGCTCCCGCCATGGCTCTTCGCATGTCTACGGCAGGAGCACAGCGAGCGCCCCAAACATTCGCCGATCGTCTGGAAGCTCCAGCTCGAGCGTGCGCTCCACTACTCCACGGGGAAGCTCATCTAACTTACTTTCTATGGGCTGGTTCCCTGCCACCAAGTGGCGGTTCTTGAGACATCTGAGCTTGGCTGACAATGCTTTGACTACCATTCCGGCTGCCAGTCTCGTTCCCTTGACAAACACACTACAGTCGCTGGACCTCTCGGCTAATCTCTTCACTGAAATACCGGAAAGTCTTGCTAGCCTTACTTGTCTCCGTGCATTGAATCTCTCCAACTGTATGATTGATGGTTTGCACTCACTGGGACGCAACCCTCTCCCAGCCATTACAACTCTCAATCTCCGATCCAACCGCCTCACATCATTGGCTGGTATCGAGCGCCTTCTATCTCTAGAGCGTGTGGACTTTAGAGACAATCGATTGACTGACCCTACCGAAGTGGCGCGCCTCACTGGTGTACCCGACATAACGGATATCTACGTTAGCCGTAATCCTTTCTGCAAGACGCACGTCAACTACAGGGTTACCATATTTAATCTATTCCGCAAGACCCCGGGCTACACCGAAGACATTCTTATTGACACCACAGGGCCGAGTACGGCTGAGAAGAAGCAGCTAGTTGACCGGGCACCCGAGTTGAAGGGAGTCCCCGTTGTGAAGCCCCCACCTGAGGATGACTTGCAGCCTATGCCATATGTACCTCCCAAAGTGGTGAAAGCCGTGGACACACCGTCTGAATCGCCTGGATTGCTTAAACGCGCCGGGTCACTACAGCGCACCAAGAGTGGAACGAGGAGTGGGCAAGAGTCCCAAAAGAAGAAGAAGGGCCCCAAGAGACGAATTGTCGAACTTTCGCAGAATGAGTCGATGCAGCAATCTTCCCAGTCGAGTCTAACAAGTCTTGCTTATGAGGATACTGCCATTGGACAGGCTCCTAAACTTACTAAGCCGGTCAGTGTGGCTGCAGAAGCACCTCGACTGGAGGAACCGTCCAAGGGCAAGGGTGTTGGAGATGCAGGCAAGAAGACTACGCCAGACGGGCGAGCGGTTGCCGATGAAACGCACACGAGCCATCAGCAACTACCTCCAATTGACACGACGACGGCGTCGAAGAAGCGAGCGGAGCCACAATCTGCAGACGACTTTGAGGTTGGTGAAGAGGAGCTGTACAAGAAGAAGATTGAGGCTCTTCGGCAAGATTTTGGCAACACGTGGCTGAGTGCGCTGGGGGACGAAGGGTGGGACTCGACATCGGTAACAAGCTTCCCATCTGACCGAGGTTATAACTCTCCGACGATGCAACCTACACTGCCTCGTACCCCAAGCCAGAGTATTGTGTCTGGGCGTACGCTTGGCTAAACGGCTGGACGATTGGCAGGAGACATGGGCGGGCGAGGGGCGAAGCGCCTTGCAGCAATTTCCGATTGCCAACGCCTGTGTGATTTCGACACCTTTGCGATACCCAAAAGATTTTTCCAAATTTGGTTTGTGGGAATGGCTTCCTGCTCGGGGTAAACAGGAGGCTATTCTTTGTTCTTCTTTTTTCCTTCCTTTCTAATAAGTTTGTGCAAGGCGTTGGATGGGTGACGGGCGATGATGAGATTGCATGGCGCCATGTGCTACGCTCGTTGTACCGGTTAAAGTCTTGGTCTGATGCGAGTTTCTGGCTGGCAGCATGTTGCGGATGTGCTGTTTGTGGGTCGGATTCTGTAAAAATATTGGTGCGTCTGGGATGTGCTCGTGGACTGGGCAGTTGGATCTGCCATGAATACGCGGGCTGTCATTGTTTCTTTGTTTTTATTTCAATTTTGCTTTCTTTTCTGCTTTGACGCTTGTTTGCTTCTTCTACATAATTGGGTTTCTACTAGGAAGCGATGTCAGGCATGGGCGCATGCAGCAGTGCGAGTTGGGGCGTTGTTTGATCTATTGCATAATGAGCGCACATGTTCGGGTAGATGTCTGCATGAATAGAAGACGAATTCTGGCCTACACGAGACTGGATGGATATATATGGATGAATGGATGAATGGACGATATCACGTGATTGTCAAGTGAGGTCTGCAGATGTACTTGGTATGTAATGTATGTATGTAAGTATGCAAGTATATACTCTGGATGGTCGTGGAGCGAAGACCGGCTCCATGGGCTGGCTGGCTGGCTAGGGCTGGCTGGTAGCTCCCGAGCTACGTACATGAACAGTGTGTGAACGGGCGGTCCGGGACGAAGTGCATACAGATACAGCGGATGTCATGAGCAGGCAAGTATTAGCAAAGAGAGCTTCGCCGGCTGAAGCGGAATGTGGATGGGGGGGGGGGGTGGTTTGAGGCAGGCTGCTAGGCCAAAAAGCGCAGCACGGTCAAGGCACCGGCGCAGTCTAGAGTGAGACTGTGCTGACTGTTTAATAACATGGCATGAACGGGCTGTCGTATTCCGGACGCATTGCAGTGGCAGCGGTACCCAACGGGCAAAAAGGGTCGAGGACAAAAGTCGAGGACAAGTCGAGGAGATTGTGGTGGCGCGGTGGCAGGCGTCGAGGAGGGCAGGCTAGACATGTGTGTGGTGTGTTAGCGGCAGTTGCAGCCGGTCAGGTGCGATGTGGACGACGCTGGCCACGCCCGGTACCTGGACTGGACTGGGACGGGTAGCTGAGGCCTGTGTCCATGTCAGCGTCTGACCGTGCAGAGGCTGGCACTGGTGTTGGGTGTGCAGGTAATGGGTGTGTGTGGGTGCTGGGCGAAGGAGAGGGCCCTTTGTTATCATGGCTCGCTGTGCTGCTCTCCCACAGCCCCGACGCGCGTCTCTGTTGGGCTAGCACACCTTTTGCGCCAAGCCAGGCCTAGGTCTGAAACCGTGCCTGCTCTGCAAAACTACTCGGGCGTTGTGATCCTCTCTACCACCGCAACCCAACCCGGCCTACCTACCATCAACCCACTGCCTGCTTCCTGTCTTGCTCCCCAAGCCCCAACGCTGCAGACAACCCGTACTCGCTCATCGCCCGCACAGCCTACTTTTGTCGTCCATCGCCCGTCTGTCTGCCAACCCCCCCGCTCCTCCAGGCGGTGAAGTCACTCCCAGCATCCCACTCGACAGGCTCCCGCTCATAACAACGCCTCAGCGCCTCAGCGCCCCCGCTCCCCTCGCGCTCAACTGCCCACCGCGCAGCCCACACAGGTATCCCCATATCAACACGCACAATTGACCAGCGCAATTTGCAGCCGCCCCACCCGTCGCGTGATCCCAGCTCTGCCAACAGGCACTTCTTGAGGGGCTTTGAGCCATTCTCCACACGGCGACAGCCTGCACCCGTCTGCCACTCTAACCACCCCATTCGTTGACATCAGAGGTACGTGACACTCTCTCCTCCCACTCCCTCCCCTTTGCTGCAGCCCCACGCGATGCATCGCCCGCCTCCCAGCCAGTGTCATCGCCGTCGTCGTGGTAGTCGCTGTCCACGACACGCTTCTGCCGCCGTCCGTAGGCCTCGCAGCACCACACACACACACACACACACACACACACAGACCTGCCAGATACAGACGGTTAGAGCGCTGCTAACACGCCCAGTGCAGCAAAGGAAGAAAGAGAGAAAAAAAGGCCCTCCGTACAAAGCCTTCGCCAGTGCCACGCGCAAATCTTCCTCACCCACCCACGCGAGGTTCTTCCTTGCCCCTTCAGCCACCGAACCCAGCGCCAGTAGCAAGTCACAGCTATGGCCGAAACTGAGGTGGACTTGGACTCTATCATAGACCGCCTGCTCGAGGTCCGCGGCAGCAGACCCGGCAAGCAGGTCCAGCTGCTCGAAACCGAGATCCGCTACCTGTGCACCAAGGCTCGCGAAATCTTCATCTCACAGCCCATCCTGCTCGAGCTCGAGGCACCGATAAAGGTCAGTCACAGCGCGTAGTGCTGCGAAGCCCAGTGTCTGGCTTCAGAGCACCTACTGACTTTGCATGCACCAGATTTGCGGAGATATCCACGGCCAGTACTACGATCTGCTACGGCTCTTTGAGTATGGCGGCTTCCCTCCAGAGGCGAACTACCTCTTCCTCGGCGACTACGTCGACCGTGGCAAGCAGTCGCTCGAGACGATATGCCTCCTCCTCGCGTACAAGATCAAGTACCCTGAGAACTTTTTCGTTCTGCGTGGCAACCACGAGTGCGCTTCCATCAACCGCATCTACGGATTCTACGACGAGTGCAAACGGAGATACAATATCAAGCTATGGAAGACTTTTACCGACTGCTTCAACTGTCTGCCTATTGCCGCCATTATCGACGAGAAGATCTTCACCATGCACGGTGGCCTGAGCCCAGATCTAAACTCAATGGAGCAGATTAGGCGTGTCATGCGACCTACCGATGTGAGTTTGATCCACACACATGTCGAGCCAATTGTTAGGACACACACACTGACGAGCATCTGTAGATTCCCGATTGCGGTCTTTTGTGCGATCTGCTGTGGTCCGACCCAGACAAGGACATTACAGGATGGAGTGAGAACGATCGTGGTGTGAGCTTTACGTTTGGACCCGACGTTGTGTCTCGTTTCCTGCAAAAGCACGACATGGACCTGATTTGCCGTGCGCATCAAGTCGTAGAAGACGGTTATGAGTTCTTCTCCAAACGCCAGCTCGTGACACTGTTTAGTGCACCCAACTACTGCGGCGAATTCGATAATGCAGGCGCAATGATGAGCGTCGACGAGAGTCTGTTGTGCTCGTTCCAGGTAAGCCTAGGATGATGGTTTTGTGTGGCGTCTATCTATGCAAATTGCTGACAAATGATTGCAGATTCTCAAGCCTGCAGAGAAGAAACAAAAGTATGTCCCCAATCTCGGTAGACCTGCATCTGGCAGCAAAAAGCGCTAGAGGCAGTGGCTACTCTACTCATTGTGAATCAATACCAACTTTTTTGTGCAGCAGGTTTGGGCGCCGTTAGATGATGGCAGTGGTCAGCCCCTCCGAGTCCGATGCCTCACGACGCGAAACATACTCGATCTCGATTTCGTTACCCACTCTTTGGCTTTCCGACGGCCTTTGACGATTTGTACACAGTCCTGTCCTTCATTCTTTGTGATTCGAGTACCGTTGCGCGCGATGCAAAGGGAGACTGCGGTCGACGCTCCGTGGCGGACGATGCGACCTTTGACGACTCTGCCTTTTTGGACTTGCCGGCGACAAGAAGAGGCGGAGGTTGTAGCAGGGCAAAAGAAAAGGCGCGCGATGGTAGGCCAGCAGAGATGCGGACAAGAAACATGATATCAGGAGAAAAAAAGCACAAGGGGCATGACTAACGGCCTGGATACGTTTTATGGTTGTTGCATGTTCTACAAAAAGGGTCTCTGTGGCGAGGATAGTCTGGATTGTCTGAGGCGGGCTGGATGGTGGGAAGCTATCAGTGGCCTTTTGATTGGGCTTGTTCAGGCTATCGAAGCATTTGTGGACTCGTGTTGACTGCTTCGTCCTTTGGGCAAGTGAGAGGCTTTTTTACACGGGATGATGTCTGTCATTTTTCTTTCCTTGTTCTTTTTTTTCTTCTCTTCTTCGTTTGCCGCGTTGAACCAGCAACCTTTTGAGGATGAGGATGTAAGCTAGTAGTTTCGAAATGGAGTATGCGTATCCCCTTTGCGAGCGTGGTTTACGAGTGCAGGGGCCATGAAGTGAGAGAGGTATTTTAGTAGTATGTGTGTACTAAGCAAGTGGGCGCGAGTGGCGGATGGCGGCGCTCGGCTCGTAGAGGGAACACGGACGAAGGCGAGCCAGAGAACAGACGAGAGCACGGCGAAGAAGGAGAAAAAAAACTAAACAGGCGAGGAAACCATGACAGGATTCGGCCGATGGGCAAGGGATGAGACGTCTGCGGTTGATTCTGGCCAGGGTTGTGGGGGGGTTTATTATTTTGTTATTCTTGTTTGAGAGAATGAGGTGAGTGCAGGAGAGAGACAGAGAGAAAGAGAAAGAGAAAGAGAAGCACGTCTTGTTTCTTTTGGGACTGCGTGAGGCATGCATTGCAGTGGAGGAGGCATGGCAATGGCAATGGCCATGGCAAGGATGGAGGAGTCGATGGGCTTGGCTGGGCGGCACGATGATGTCAAGGGGAGCGTGCATTCTTCATAGGGCTTGTGCTTGCACAGAGGGAATGCAAGGCCAGGCCAGGCCTGAAGAAGAGCGTGTGGCAGTGCTCGCGGCCTCGTCGGGCGTCGTGGGCGTCGTCAGAGCCTGGCAGCGTGCGGTCTAAGCGTAAGCGCCGCCTCCGCCGACCGTGGCTCCGGTCGCAGCCACCACCACCTGCCCGTTCCAATGTAGTCATCCTCCAGCCGCCTATTGATTCCCCCAAACCTGGCCTTCACCCGCCTCGCCGTTCCTTGCTGTGCCCGTGTGCTGTCTGTCTCTCTCTCTCTCATCCCATCCCATCTCGTCTTCTTCCTCTTTTCCCCACCACCGCACTCCCTCCATCCCTGTGTTGTTGCAGGTCCCGCTTGGCTTTCAATGTGCGCGCTGTAGTTCCATCACCCCCCTTCGCGCCTGTCGTCACTCCTTTGCCCGCCCTCCTCCGTCGCTGCGTCGCGCGCCTTCCGCCCACAACCCACCACCGCCCACTTACGACCAGCACCACCACCGCCGCCACCCCTGCTACTGCCATGTTTTGAACATCTGAACAGAGGACCGACGTCACTCTGTACGCAGCCGCCATGGCCGAGTACGCGTATGTTTCCCTGTCTTATCCTACCCTGCCCTGCCCTGCCCTGCACTGCCCTGCCACTACCGCCGCTACCCAGTCACTCTACTTACATGTCGTCTCAACACAGCTTCATCGCACATTCGGCTCCCTGGGTCCACAGCTCAGGCGCCATGACGCCCTCGCGCCTCCGCTCCCTATCTCCCATGCCCAAGAACCATGTCACCCGCTCCATCTCCACACCCCAGCTCGCAAAAACTGCCCAGTCGCAGTCGCAGTCGGAAGCCGAGAGCGAAGGCATCAACACGATTCCCGACCCACGCTCAGCGACTCCTCAACCCTCCCTTTTGCGCCATGACTCGAACGACTCCCATCCCGACTTTAGTCAGGAGGTGTCAACCCTTAGCACCAAGCTCATCAACGCCATCAACCACTCCACCATGCTAGACGACTCGTTGCAGCAGGCTAGGCACGAGCTGGAAGCTGCGAGGGAAAGGCTTATGCGCCTGGAAGCCCAGGTCAGGGAGCATGAAGACAAGATTGCAAAGGGTCTCTTGGTCGAAAAGGTGGTCTATGACAAGATGGAGAAGCAAATGACCAACGAGCTGAAAGAAGAGCGCAAGCGGAGGGCCCAGGCCGAAGCTGCCAAGCGCAAGACGGACAGCGAGGTCGAGGCTTTGACAGCTGCTTTGTTTGAGGAAGCCAATGTGGTGAGTTCGCATTGCATGCGCTAGTGACGCGTCACGACTGACCAGAATAGATGGTTGCAGCCGCACGTAAAGAAACCGAGGCTTCCGAGAAGCGCGGCGAACAGCTGCGACAGCAACTGGGCGACGCAGAGGTGCTCCAGCATTCTCTCCAGGACCAGCTGCAAGATCTCAAAGGCGTTGTGGAGAAGATGAGCTCACATGGCGACGACAACGAAAGCCATGTTCTGACAACCACCACTACTCCTTCGACACCAGGCCTTTCACCCGCGGACAAGATGAGCAAACTATTCGAAGCCATGAACCTAACACCCAGCACGCCTGGATCGGACGAAATCAGCCCGGACCATCCACTACACTTTTCGCATCTGATCCATCCCGTACTCCGCTCCGACCTGACAGCATTCAAGGAATTCCAAGACATGCTCAAGATTAGTGCTCGCTCAGCCCCAGCAAGTCGCGCCTCGAGCGGTAACTATGGCAGCCTTACTGTCCTCGGACTTGGTTCCCTGACCAACAGTTCGACCACCTCCCTGCCGTCCAAATCATCCATATCGATCAACAATTCTCCCCGCGACAACGTTTCCACTGCCGGAATGCCCAATTTAAAGGACGACAAGTTTTACAAGCGCGCTCTGGTAGAAGACATTGAACCAACATTGCGTTTGGATCTCGCACCTGGATTATCATGGATGGCACGTCGAACAGTTCTCAGCAGCATCAGTGCCGGTTCTCTGGTTGTTGAGCCCAATCCCACGCCTACGTCGAGATTCCGAGTTCCAATCTTCCCCTGTTCGCTCTGTGGAGAGTCAAGGGCGGGTGAGCAGTATGCTCGCAAGTTTCGATTCAAGCCATCCGACACGGAGGATGCTCAGCGCTACCCGCTATGCGACTATTGCTTAGGCCGAGTCCGTGCCACATGCGACTATATTGGCTTCTTGCGCATGGTCGCTGCTGGCCACTGGCGGGCTGAAACGGACGAAGAGAGGAAATCTGCTTGGGAAGAGAGCGTTCGCCTACGCGAGCGCATGTTCTGGACGAGAATCGGAGGCGGTGTTGTTCCGTCTTTTGTTCCTCTGCGCGATAGTCCCAGGAGTCCAACATTTACCAACAGCGACACCTCGCTTGAGCAGAGAATGAGCGAAGAGAGCGAAGTATCTTTCGAACCTAGAGATATCACGGTCAATGGCCCAGCGACCGCAAACGAGCCAAGCAAGAGCAACGAAGATCCGTTTCAGAGTAAAGGAGATGAAACACTGAAGCGAATTTCCATAGGCAAGACTGTCATTTCGGCGGATGTCAGCGGAAATGCAGACCTTGACTCCAAGTCGACCCCAAGTCAGCATGCGGAAGATAACGCTGAGCCAACGCCTGCTTCGAGCCAAAACGAAGAAGAAAAGATTGAGCAACAAGCCGAAGCTCAACTCCAGAAAGAGTTTCGCAAATCGCTCGACACAAGATGGGCCACCGAGCAGCCGCCGCTACGACGTCAGCGATCGTCATCCATTCCTCCTCCCCCGATTCAGGTCCGGAAAAAGGAGGACCGACTAAGTTTGAGGATTCCTGGCTCCATGCCGGGGGCTTTTGAGTAGAATGGTTCGGCACAAACTATACTAATAATTCACTTTTCCTATCAATTAACAACCGCGTCATCATTAATCCGTCTGGATTGGCAGCAAATGGCGGGATATGTGCGGATTCAACGAGAGAATAGCAGCGTTTTTTTGTTTTTTATCCAACTTGTGGAGCATGGTTTCTGTGGCGTGTCCAAAAAACAACCGGAAGGGAGGGCAGGAAAGGCAATGCCAAAGGGAAATGCTCCGGTTTTGACATGGCAGTAAGTCTTGACACCAGAGCTTTGGATTGGACGGATATGGAAATGGGATTGATGGACATGGAAAGGGAACAAAGGGAGAAATGGCGAAACTTGGGCGTTATATACCAGGAGTTTTTGTGTTGTCGTTGTTGTTGTCAACCAACCTTTTTTTGTTACAAACATTCTGTTTTTTTTTACAACTAGGCATTGCGGGAAGGTGGGGGGAAAGATGGATCAGGCAAAGGGAGAGACACAAAGTCGTAGGCTTTTTTTGGTTGTTGTTGTTGTTGCTGTTGTCTTATTTCAACACCGATGAGGTTGCCATCTCTCGGGGGAGGGGTGTGTTTTCGCGCTATTTCCATCTAATTGTACTATATCTATACGGGCGGGGGGTTGCGGCAGAGGAAAAGAAGAGGAAAAGGAAGAGAAATTACAAAGATAACAGACTTGTCATATTATTCATGTTGCTCTTGTTCTTTCTTTTTTTTTGGAAGGAGAAGATGGCTAAGAGATACAGAGTCGTATTTTGAATTTCATACAATTAACCCGCTTTTTCAAAGTAATGCATTTTGTGTAGAAGAAGAAGAAGAGAGATAGGAAAGGTGTATCACAGAACGGTTTATTACTTCCCCCGTCCTTTACCGTTCTTCTTTCCGCCCCTCCCTTTTGCCTTTTTCTGCTTGTGCTTCTCGCTCAATGAGCCGTCGAGTAGTGCAGTAAACGTCTCGCTGCGTGTCTTGGGCGCTTCATCTGGTACTTCATCATCATCATCATCATCATCATCATCTTCACCGTCTTCTTCTGCTTGTCCTTCCTCCTCTAGGTGCTCTTCCGCGTCCTGATTCGCAAGACGCGTATTGCGTTTCCTTGTGGTGCGAGTCTGCGCTTCCTCGACCTTTCTATCCTTTTTAGATGGCCGACCACGTTTTCTGGGCTGTGGTGTATCTTCTTCGGCTCCGTCTTGCACACGCGCCTTTTTGACTGCTGGTTCCTCTTCTAGTCCTTCGAGCACCTGCTCGTCCTCTTCATCCTCTTCTTCTTGTTCCTCCGCTCCTCTCTTCTTAGGCGTTACATTCTGGCCCTTCTGCACCTCCTTTCCCTCGTTGTCAAACTTCTTGTTGATTTGCTGTGCCTTGAGATGCGCCCGCGCCCTCTCCTTAGCCATGCGCTCCTGCCTCTCCAAATCGTACTTGTCGTTGCCTGATAGCCCATGTTTGATGAAGCGCCCCGCGGCTGCGACATCGAGGCGCGCTCGTCCCTCTGCACTGCCCTTTATGCCGCGATCTTCGATTTCCTTGATTTTGCTGTTGTACTGACGTAGACGCGCAATTTCTTTGAAGATGGCATGTTCGGTTGCGTTGACGCCAGACGCAGTGAGTGAGGCAAAGAGAAGCGACTCAATGGCGTATGCGGCGAGACAGTAGAGTTTGGCTTTGTCGAGGAGAGGGAGCGATGATGCGGTTATCGAGAGCGGTTTGGAGAGTAGTGGTTCAAGAGCGGTGGTGAGCTCGTCAATGTCGACTTCAAGGTCTTCTACCAGGTCCGGGAGATCGATTTGCGGGTCCATTATTGAAAATTTGGAGTCGCAACTATGGTGATGAAATTACGGTAGGTTGCGACTATGCGCGACGGGGTTATTGGGGGTATAGTGTTGTGCTTGGTACGGTACAGTCGCGAAGTTGAGTTCAGAGAAAAGTAAAGGGCCGTGCGTAAACCCGCGCTAGATCCGACCTCTGAATCTCTAGTTGGTGACCCTCCGATCTCTCGTAGCGTCATTCACCCATCTTCACAAGATCCCAGTAATATCCCGCCTTTGCTGCTAGTCACACCAAATTACCACGCATGGGAACATAGAATCAATCAAGCTGTCTTCATTCTTCGTCTCGCAATTCATCCCCAGGCTGCGGCCTCGGATACCTCATATACGTGCAAGATGCAACATCGGTAGCAATTGCGCAAGCCGGGTGGCTTACACTCATTCGAGGAATCTCATGACGAGCTGGAAAAAAGAGGATAGCGTGGCTATCGAGGATATGCCGCTGGATGTGTACGTGGTGCGAGTGACTTTATACCTTTGCGAAACTCACGCCTTGCAGCAAAGACGAACCCGCCGCTTCGTCAACTTCTCGTAATACTGCCGATTTCTATCGCGCCAAGCCTGTAGTGGACCGGAGAATTCATATCATGGGCATTGGAAATGTAGGAAGCTTCATTGCTCATGCGCTTCGGGGAATTCCCAATCCCCCTCCAGTGACGCTGTTGTTTCCGCGATGGGAGAGGCTGAAAGAATGGAACGATTCACCGAAAAAACTGACTCTGATCACCGACGGGGACGCCGAGGTGCAAGAAGGATATGATGCTGAACTGGCTATACCGCGCATACGATATCACGGGAAAGAGGTGGGCTTGGACGCTTCGTCCACGGAGACTACAGGAGACGTCACTATATTGGAAGGAGAATCAGCAGAGCCCATAAGCTCTCTGATAATCTGCTCCAAGGCACCGTATGTTTTGCAAGGACTGTCGTCTGTAAAGCATCGACTACACAAGGACTCTGTCGTTTTATTCTTGCAGAATGGAATGGGAATCGTTGAAGAGGTCAATCGAGAAATCTTTCCAGATCCAGCGACAAGACCACATTACATGTTGGGAATCAATTCGCACGGAATGCATACCTCGCCAGATGGTAAATTTACGACTGTTCATGCTGGATTCGGGACCATCTCCTTGGGTATATTGCCGCATGAACGAGACCGCAAGCCAGACTCGCCGTACATGCCCAAGCCGAAGTTTACTGCTCCAAAAGATAGTCCGCCATTATATCCGGATCCTCCTGATGAACTCAATCCCGAATACCCTCCTCCAAGCAGCGCAAAGTTTTCCTTTACACCAAACCAACGCCATCTACTGCGCACTCTTCTCCGCTCCCCAGTGCTCAGTGCAACATCCTTTTCGCCGCCTGATCTCTTGCAAATGCAGCTCGATAAGCTTGCAGTCAATTGTATCATCAATCCACTGACGGTACTTCTCGACGCACGAAACGGCGCTATTCTAAACAATTACGCCTTGACGCGCACAATGCGTCTTCTCCTCTCAGAAATCAGCCTTGTTATCCGTTCCCTGCCTGAACTCCAATACATTCCGAATGTCCAACAGCGTTTCGATCCCGGCCGTCTGGAAACTGTAGTCGTCGCGGTAGCAAATCTCACCAGAGACAATGTTAGCAGTATGCTGGCGGACACGAGAAAGGGTATGCAGACGGAGATTGACTACATCAATGGGTGGGTAGTGAAGAGGGGTGAGGAATTGGGAATCCACTGTGCAATGAACTACATGATTGTACAGCTCGTCAAGGGCAAGAGAATGGTGGTGCAGCATGAAATGGACGATAGTGTGCCGTTGGTTAAGCCCAAGCAGGGAAGGGCTGACACGGAGTTGGATGTGAGGGAGGGTGTGGTTGAGGCTCCTAAGGAGAAGTTGTGATAGATATTTTTGTATTCATTATTCTTCACATACTACTTGACTGATGTTCTTTAACATATTCTTGGTTCAGATGGGTTCGCTGATCAGAAAATCAATGTGATACCTATCTAATGTATGTATGTATGTATGTATGTAGGTATTCATGCATAAGTTTAACGTCCCATATAAAGGCCTCGTTGTTGCATACGGACGGGCGGAGCTCAGGGTTTACAGTGCAGTACTACTACCTAGTTTCACCCATTTATAGAGAGTGAGTTCAAAGTACTATTTCCTCTAATGACCGCCCCGCCGGTTGAGGGGCTATTGCAATTTTTCGTGCTGGATGAGAGCCCTTAGTGATCCAATGTAAGCCGTAGTAAATCCGCCTCCAACCTAACTTTGGTATACTTTCTTACTGGCAATAGTTACATCTAATATATGTTTACATGTAATCTTCATCTAACTGTAGAGTTGTGAAATTCGTGTACAAAGAATACAGTTTGGAGAGTTCAAAGTTGATGATTTCATTATTGTACCTACCATGCAATTAAGTCTCCAACTATCTAAACCTCCGCCTCCCTCAACCCCCTTTTAAACCGATCAATTGCCCTAGCCTTTGTCTCCTTCCAATCCACATGCGGCTTGGGATACCCCAGTTTCTCAAACTCTTCTTTTGACAGTCTTGCATACGGCGCAAACACGGCCTTGCCTTTTACATCCTTGAGCTCAGGAACCCATTTCCTAATGTAATCGCCATCTGGATCATTCTTCTCAGCTTGCGACACGGGGTTAAACACAGTGTAGCTTGGTTCCCAGCCCTGTGTGTTGTTGGAGAGATCCCAGTCGATGAGGGTTTCGGCAAAGTAGCGTTCACCGCGGCGGTAGTCCAGAAGCAAATTGCAGTAGAGATACGACGACACGTTCATACGCAGGCGGTTGTGCATGTATGCTTCAGCATTTAGCTGGCGCATGCCTGCGTCGATAAAGGGCTCGCCGGTTTGTCCCTTGCACCATTTTTCCCAGCCTTCCTTGTCGTCTTCCCATTGTACAGCGTTGAATTTGAGGTTCTGTGGCAGGTTCATGGATGTGTGTGGCACACAGACTGTGTGTTGTCGATATAGCTCGCGGAAAACGATTTCTCGGACCCAGCTGTAGACTCCGCCTGAGGCTTTGGATTCGGTGAAGTCGGTGCTGCCGCGGTTGTAGTCGACGACTTTGCGGAGAGCTTCACGCACGGAAAACATGCCTGCGCTGAAGTAGGCGGACATGCGCGATGTACTGTTTGCGGCCGGGTTGGAGCGTGTAGATGCATAATGGGAGATTTGTTTGAGAAATGAATCCATGCGTTTTACGCCTTCGGCATGGCCAGCCGGCCAAAGTTTTCGAATCCTCTTCTTCTCGTCTTCTGACTTGAATTGCTTATCTTTGGCGGGCTTGGGTGCTGGTGTGTCGAACAGATCCTTGAGCTCTTTCTTCATAGATGAAGGGTTCGCGGCAGGTGGAGGGCGTGTATCAAGGAGTTCGGGTTCTTCTCGCAATCTGCTGAGCCAAGCTTTGTGGTATGGCGTGAAGACCTTCATCGGCGATCCGGACGATGTGGTCATTGTACCGGGTTCAATCACGGTCTGGTCGTGGAAAAGAGAAACCTGGATATCTTTCCCAGAAGTCTTGACTAGCTTCAGATCTCGGCGCATCTCGTCAATCTCGTATTCGTAGTTGCCAAAGACGTGGGAAATTTTGTGATTCTTCAGCCACTCAACGGCGGTCTCCACAATCTTCTTTCTGTCTTTGCACTCTATGAAAACCAATGGTATATTTAGCTCCTTGAGTTCTTTTTGCATTATCTTCAACCCCTCACACATGAAATCAACTCTTGCTGGACTGGTCCCATGCCATGATTCATCGGCAGGACAGTTGATGTAAAAGCACACCAGAGGTCTCTTGGCACTTGTAGCAAGCTCAGAAGCATGATGTAGTGCGGTATTGTCCTGGATTCGAAGGTCCTTGGGGTGGAACCAGTGAGCGACTTTTGTTACGTCTTTAACTTCATCTTGCGCGCCAAGTGCTTCCTGGACTTGATCGTAAGGGAGATTTTCATCAACCTGCTTTGCGCGTTTTGCAGACGTGTGACCGAGCTCGTCACGCTCGTAAGATGTTCTCTTCGACATATCAGTTTTGGTAGGCTTTTTGAGTGCAGTCCGATTTTGGAAACGCGTCGCGTGACTGATGGCGCGATTTGGTGGAAGCAGGAATCTGGTATGGTAGGCCGCAGTTCGTCTAGCAGCAGAGATTCGGACAGTATGCGATATGAAGGCGCTTCTAAAGGAACACATTGGCTGTGTTCCTAATACATGGTTGCGTCTTTGTACCTCTGTATGAGCAGATTTGCATGAGGGTCTCAAGTGGTGACGTCGACAGAACCGAACTATCCAGACTACGGCCGATTCAAGGCCACACCATGATGGGCAGCCGACATCGAACACCAATGGAGAGCATCGCTATCGCTGTTTCAGATGCAAGATCTGGGGATCTCCCTGGCTCCCGCTGCAGCATGCGATCTATATCCACTCCCCTGGATTTGGTAATGTCGTGCCTGGATAGCGCTGTAGGGGGTTTGTGGATATAAGGCACGCGACAGCCAGCAGTCCACAAACAACGGCTGATGTCGATGCCCATATCATGGATCAACTTCGCGCGGTGCAGACTTTGATCCCGATAGAGCGCTAAATGTCTGATTGATGGAATGGCTGCAGAGAGGGTTTTCAGCCGCGAAAACTGGCAGGCTGCCCAGCCACGTCGTTTCCCACAACCACAATCGCCGCCGGCAATATACCCGCCTGGGGTGTGGGTCAAGGAAGATGTTCTCACCTTGTCTGATCAAGAGGCAGGAAAGTATGACGAATGGAGAAGCAGTCTATTGAGCACAACGGGGGGCGGTCCGTTTCCCAACCATGCGCCAAGCTACATGGCGTAGCTGTCAAACCAATCGCATGCCATGTGCTCGCAACGTGATGCCAAGACATTCCCGTTAACTGTCTGCCAGATCCCGAACAGGCAGCTCGGCAAGATGTTGATTGATGACATTGGCTCATAACCGGACCATCCCAGCGGACTGGGTGCTGGTCCATGGAGATGGATGTGTTCTCTCGAGCAGTAAGATTGCTGGATTATCGCACGAGGGCGGCTGGACATGCATTCCTCTCCACAAACTAGCATCCCCGGGGGATTGAATGCAGTACCTGGTAGCTCAATATGCATGCCATGACTACGTAGGGTGTATTCCAGGAATCCGGCACCAGGTACCTACTTAGACTTATAAAAGTGCCAGGCACAGCACCTAATTCTTTTGCTTCATCGCAATCTTTGAGAGCCTTGTGTAACTGTTCATCTCTCAATCGCGTTCAATATGAAGTGCACATGCTCGGCTGTCGTGGCAGCAGCCCTTTTGGTGGGCTCTGTTTCTGCGCAGACATTCAGGAGACTTGAAGCTTGCCCGACGCTTGGTAAGTTTGTCCTCTTTTATGTGTACACTTGTCTATCTCAGCTAACTAAAAGACAGGCTGCGTATTCCCACCTGACCAGTTACGTACATCATTTATTAAGAATACTAAAGCTCACTTGCTAACGACAAGTCCAGGGCTGACTTCCTCGCTGGCCAATTCTTCGACATTCGACTTGAGGTGCACCAGCCCATCAATGGCTCCGAGGCCATTGGACTACCTCTAGATGAGCAGTTCACCTTTACTGTTGGAAAGAAGGGCGAAGAAGCAAAACCGGTGACCGAGTTCTTCGACCTCGAGGAGTCGAAACTCGAGAAATGGAACTTCACCTATTTTGAAGGTACGTAAGATATTTGAACGTGAACTTTCGAAACCGCTACATACATCCTGCATTTAAAGATGGAGCCCGATGAATTTCCATTGAAGTAGTTGTTTGTGTTGCACACAAAAGAACTTCAATGGTTGGATTTGAACGTTAGCCGGGCGAAACGCCAGTCACGTGGTCAACGTCCTCAACCTTCTACCACCCGTCAAGATCGTCCTATTACTACCGTTTCGAAATAAAGATTGACAAAAGTACAGATCTGTTCGCTCGCGACGCAAAAAAGCCTTCCGTGGTCAATGTAGCCGCCAAGGCGTATCGTCGTATCGCCTTGTACGAGCCAGGAGAATACACGGCGACATTGCACTACAACAACGGGAGCAAGACCGAAGCCACATGGAGTGTACGTGACCTTTCCGAGGAGCGCAAGGCTAAAAATATCATTTTCTTCATCGGAGATGGCATGTCAACCGCCTCTATAACCGCGGCTCGTTCCCTTGGTCACAGGTCCATCAACGGAAAATTCCAAAGCACTTTGGCCATGGACAAGTTTCCCAGGGTCTCCCATTCAATGACGCACAGCTTATCGACTTTTATCACTGATTCTGCCAATTCTGCGGCTGCTCTGAACACTGGGCACAAAAGCTCCGTCAACGCCTTGAACGTTTATGGCGACTCGAGTAAAAACCCATTTGACGACCCTAAAGTTGAAACGATTGCTGAGATTTTCCACCGTCTGACTGGTGGACATATCGGTATCGTTTCTACTGCGTTCATTGCTGATGCTACTCCTGCTGCTCTGGTTGCTCATACTCGCCTCCGAAACCAGTATGGAGCCATCGTTGACACCTTCCTCAATGGGCTCCAGAACTACACCTGGACAAAGACCCCGATCGATGTGATCTTCGGAGGTGGAGGCGAACAGTTTTATCCTTCCGCGCTTGGTGGAGTCACCTACCAGGACAAGAATTACTATGATGAGTTCGCGGCTCAGGGTTACCAGGTTGTGCACAACCGCACTAGTCTCATGGCGGCCTCACCCGAAGAGAAGACCTTGGGCATTTTCTCAACGTCCAACATGGCCAAATGGCTCGATCGCAATGTTTACCGCAATAACCTTAATCAAACCCTTTCGCCAACTGGTGATAAGAAGCCCGCTCTCGACCAACCTGGCCTCAAGGAGATGACCCTCAAGGCCATCGATATTCTGGAAAGCCGCTCCGGCGACAAGGGCTGGTTCCTCATGTCTGAGGCTGCAAGCATAGATAAGATGCTCCACGCCCTTGATTCGTCCCGGGCTTTAGGAGAGTTGCTGGAGTTGGATGATACCGTGAAAGCCACCATCGAGCATCTCAACTCCACCAACTGCCTCAAAGACACCCTCATCATCGTCACCGCCGATCACGGCCACGGATTCGACGTTATGGGATCAGTCGACACGCATTATCTTGACGCGCAGGAGGATGATCGCAGGAAACGCGATGCGATTGGTGTCTATGAGCAATCTGGTCTCTCTGAATACATCAACACTGGAAACTTAACCTACGGAGATTCGCATTTCCCCAGCAACTGGGATCCTCGCTACACATTCTACCAGGGTCTTACAGCTGCCCCGGATCGTCATGAGAACTTTAGGGTTACCAAGGACGGCCCCAGAAAGCCCGCTGTTGAGCTAGTGAAGGACAGCGACGATTTCTACGCCAATCCCAAAGACGGTAAGGGTGGCATCTTGGTCAATGGTACATTGCCCGTGGAGAACGACCAGGGCGTCCAGTAAGTTTTCTCTTTGCTCCTTAAAATCGAGGTTTTGCTAATGACCGACATAGCTCGCTTACCGATGTACCCGTTTATGCAATGGGCCCCTGCGAAGATCTGTTCCAAGGGACCTACAACAACATTGAAATCTTCTATAAAATGGCAGAGTGCTTTGGCCTTGGACGTGGGAAGCCGTCTGAGGAGAAGTAGAAATTTGGGAAGCACCGCGCATAACGACGTGACGAAGACATTACGACCAATTGTGTAGTGGCGTATCTATGGTACATGTATTGAATTTGTAATCTGCAGGAAATCTATGGACTTGGCTTCCTACATGAATATGTCCTATTTTTGATGGACCGCAACTGCTTCAGTCCGAGTGAAAACCAAACCTGGATTGCATTCCAGGGACCGTTTGAACATCACCAGATGGCCGATGTTCCGAAAAAGAGAATATGATCGAACAAAAACTCTCAGGCTTACCCGAAACACGAAGGAGAATATCCCGCAAGAAAGCCGCCAACAAAACAAGACACTCGTGTACCTGGTGTTGAGAGAGTAATTGTACCTCTACACACCCTCAAACTCGTCTTCATCATCGCCCTCGTCATCAACCTCGTTCTCGTCCTCATCCTCATCCTCGCTGCCTTGGCGGTCACCACCATCGTCTTCTTCATGAATATCTTCGAGACCTCGCAATTGTAAGGTAAAGGACTGTTTTTCAGGTGGAATCTCAACCTTAGGCAGTCGGACTAGAATAGATAAAGTCTTTTGTACAAGAATAACCTGCTCGGGGGATGATGCGGACCATCGTAGAGTGCGGAGGCTAGGAAGGCCAGGAGTCCAAGAACACCAAGGACGACCGAAATGCGCGCATGTCGTACAACGACTATCGTTGAGCTTGTCTTTTGTGCACATCTTGTCGGGAAAGGATGACCTGTTCAAGTATGCTTGAACCAAACAGCAAGTGTCGCAAAATTTGCGATGTCCGACCATAGCGCTGCCAAAGTCGCCAAATTGGACGTTGACCCTGAGGCCATACTCTGGCTTCATCATGTCTGTGTCGCACTGCATAACCCGTGCTTTTCCACGTATCTTGGGAATCCAGGCGTGGTGATGATTTGGCTCAGAGCCAGTGATTCATTGAAGGAATGCAATTCCTTTCATGTAGCTCTTAAAAGATCCCGGTACGCGATGATCTGCTAGCTCAAACGTATGTCCTGACTGAACATACATGTATCGCCAATTTCTTGAACCGACAGGATACTCCCATTCAATGTGGACGGCCCAGGAATTCGCTTGTTCCCAGTTTTTGAAGCGACCAATCTTTGGGAGTCGCGCCCATGCATGAGGATGCGCCGAACCGTTTTTTCTAACTTCGATAGGTAGTTCGTAAGGCAATTTGGCAGCAGGTTCGTCCAATCCAGGTCTTTTCGTCCTTGACACAGGGGAGTAGATGGTCATGAACGGCTTCCATTTGCGATTCTCGACGATCATTGTTCTGATGGCAGGTGACTTGACCGTTGGTCCTGTCATTACTTGGCGATCAGCACGTCGGTAAATGGCCGTGGGTACAATGGAATCTCCTTCCTTGACATCGACGTCTTCGCGTATAAGAGGAATTTCTCACTCATCCTTCCATACTCGAAAATTGGAGAGCTGCAGTTTGCTCCGTACTGAATGCCACATGAGCCAGCCCCGCGTTGAAGCATTCCCTGCCATCTAGTAATGCGAAACACTTCGTTGGACATGTCGATCAAGTACTTGGCAGGCTCCAGGAAACCCAACAGAGACATGTCTTGGCTCTCTTGATTCAGTAACTCTGGTCGATACGTTCCCAGCATGCAAATGAACATTTGCTCGACAAGAAAGTACAACCCGTACATGATCCTCCAAAGCACGGTATGGTGCAAGGAGGCGATGTCCGAGACGATCACATCTACCGGTTGCGTAGATACGGTCCTATCCCTCCGAATTGGCTTGACGACGGGGTCGCTAGGCAGAAACAAAGAGGGTCATGGATATACATGATGTACTATAGGAATGATTCCGCTCCTGGTCAAAGGAATGGACAGCCTGAACACCCACTCTCTCCGGAGGGACTCAGGAAGAACGTAAATCCTGTCATACACATATGTTCTGTATTCGAATTAACGAGCTTGCTACAATTTGAGTCTTTGGTCTACTCATCATCGCCACCATACTTCGCAATAAGACTTTTCATGATTCCTACTGCCCCACTGCGGTAACTTGCCCCAAACATCGCATAGTGGTTGAGGTGATGATACAGCTCATACAGTTGCAGACGATCTTCATACTCGCTTACTGGCTCCGTTTTAGGACATAACTGATGGTATTCCTTCATGAAGCTGCCGCCAAAGCCGCCAAACATTCTCATGATGCCAAGCTCGAACTCACTGTGAGCATAGCAGGCCGATGAATCATAGATCACGTCTTCCACCTCTCCTTTATCGCTACCAATCATGCCCACGCTCGCGTTTCCGCTCCACAGATCCCCGTGAACAACCACGGGCGTTACTCGCTGGCCATTGTTCAGGTGGTCGTCGCCAATCAAACGAGGGACGACTCTGGCTGCAGTCTGCTCGACAAGCTTTCGCAGGTCATTGTCTTTTCTGCCGCGCTGCTCTGCATGTCGGATAATGAACATGAGGCGATTTTCGGCATAGAAATCTGCCCAGCTATCTTTGTAGCTGTTTTCCTGTGGAGTCTCACCACAGCATGTTGTGACAGGAAAACCAAACATGGGCATGTCGTGTCCATCTGGTATAGGGGCGGGTGTCGTGTGCAATTGCGCAAGCTTAGCTGCTAGTGATGTCGTCTTGGACGATCGGGATGCCGAAGAAGAGTTGAGATGGAGGAACTCAGTCACTAGAAACCATTTGGAAGGTTGCGCTTCGAACTGTCCGTAACCGAAAGACTGCGGACAAAGCGTAGGAACCACTTTGTGGATGGCCTTTAGAGACGCGTCTTCACCTTTTCGGGGTGCTGTCAGTCTACTTATTGACCAGCCTACAACCGCCATATGGGCCGCACACACCTGCAAACATAACTTCAGCCGCCTTTCCACTTCCCGTCTTCATGAAATATGCCTTTTCTGATCCATCGTCGAGCCGGGATACTATCTTGGATGTGGACGCAAAGCTGCTGCCCCCAACAGACGAAACCGTAGTCTTATCAGAGCTCAAGCCAAGAAGTTTGACAAATGCTGGATCGACCTTCATTATGGATGTGTTTTACCGAAGGGGATGGCGCGAGTTTGAACGTATCTCAGTGTGGGTATTGGAAGTTGGGATGTGGGGCCCTGAGTGACGTCAGTTACATTTCAATGCGATTAATGGGGTAACGTAGCTCATGGTTGAGCGGCCGAAGTGTGCATCGCTTGAAGCGCCAACCCTTTCTATATTCATTTCCAAAGTATCCCACTGTAAACATGTATACTCACGGCGCAAATATTAGTGTCTTGGTAGAGGCAAATTATATATACTAACTATATAGAAATAGAGAGTAGAGCTGTAAAGAAAGAGAAAGTGTCTAGAGTCTTGAAGAACACTAATGGCTCTTCGCGCTATTACTCGCTGTTTGCTCTGGTCATCTAGCCATGTGCTATGTGAATCCAAGATCCCTGACCGTAACCATGTGTAGCTCAAGCGGTGAAGCAGCCTAGTTGTCACATGTGTAGACCCAGAGACTGTTGCCTCGTTTGCCCTCAATATTGGCTCATGTTATTGTCTTCAATAGGTCGGGGACTGTTTATTCAAGCAACTTCTGCCAAGAACCTGTTTCGCTAGATTTCCAACGCTTCTCGGTATTATTGGCTAATACATAACACGAGGAAGAGCCTAGAACTCTCCCAGATAATGTATAAGGGTATCTAAACGTTATAAAGGCAATGGAATATTAGTGGCACACGCATTGATGCAGGCCGTTGTATCGAGCGCTACAGTAGTCTTCACTCTGGTTGCAAACACTACCGAAAGCGTGCCAACGTGAAAGTGAATGACGAAAATAGCGAATTGGGCGGCAGGCAGCCAAAGATAGGTCACGGGAGGCTACAAGAAATGCCTTATTTGCGTTTGTAGTGACCTAATAACTTAAATATCTTCACGTGCGCATCTTCCATAATTGTTCCACTAGATATAGAGAGCATCAAGCTCTTTCTCTGCAACTTTCTCTGCACTCACCATCATTTCAGAGGTATACAATCATTACTTACCCTACATATTTCCCGCTATACACATTGGAATGCACTTGGAAATATATCTTTCTCAAACACTATAAGATGGTCTCAAACTGCGACACTGCAAATATAGACTGCTCCTCTCTCTTCATTTCTCGTTGAAACGCTCCGTAATTTGTGGAAATATCTTTTGAGGCGTGACGTGAGTTACTTCTTTCTCTTTGATGAATGATCGTTCACTGACCCTGTTTCGCAGATCGATGAGTCTCACCATAGCCAAGTTAAGCTACGCAACGATACCAGACACGCTCAAAGTACGGACCCACCGAGCCGATCGAATTCCGTCATGTCATGGCTTGCCTCAAGTCCTAGGCGCAATATACGGGTCCATGTCTCTCTCGGTACATACTTGGAAAAATAGCAGCAAGAACCCGGAATATACACATGCCGAGTCAAGATAGATTTCGGAACAACCGATGGGGTCCCATACAAAAAAGGGATGCAGAGTCAACTTCTAGAGCTAAAAGAGACAAAGGGAATAGTCAAGGTGTTTATCCGAGGAGTTACTGAAAGACCAGGTTTTACCAACTGCTGGGTCCCAATATAGTTCATGGAAAGGCACCCTTCAGGCCTAACAATATAATCGCATGTTTCAACAGAAACGGTATTGCAACACTCCCAAGAGCCACCCGGCCAGGGCGGCAGCGTAAAGGCGAACCTTTGGTGGCAGCTGATAGGAGTTGTGCACATTCTGAAGAAAAGGCTAGAAGCGTTGGAAAGGCGACTTCGGCAATACGAGGAGCTGAAAGACGCAGGACATCCCAATGCCATGCAGGTATCTCGGGATGATGTCGATCACAGCATCATCCTCGCCGATGAAGTTGGTATCGGAAAGACAAACACTGCAGCCGCGTATCGACTCATGTTATCTGTCATGAAAGTTTATGTGCTTGGGTAGAAGAAGGCTGGTGGGTCTATTTGACGAGGGCAACAGTTGCCCTCACTTCACTCAATCACCGGTATCAAAGAAACTGGCCTTTATGAAATTCTTTCTTCTGGCCGACCATTCTCAGTTTGCGATTTATTTGCCCAAAGCCGATACCACCTCACGGATTTGTGGCCTTCTCGAGAAGTTGGATTATATCTTTGGGTTTCACAAGACCGGAAGCCAAGTAGGATGCCGCTGGGCATCCGCAATATACACTTGGAGAACAAACCATTTCACGATACGAAACAACACAAAAACTACCATAGTAGCATATGGTGATCTAATCCATAACTCTACAATGCATAACACATAATGGTACTATATGTTCCTCCAGCTGCTGGGGGATGACGGACTATACTATCCGGAGGAAATATTTCCTGCGACGCGGAGTAGACTCATGCGGGACTCCATACGGCGCCAACTGCAGCTCACCGATATACCGAGTATGCAACAATATTTTATACGGTTTCTCTCCATGTACAGACGTTACCGACATATGGAGTTGTGGAACTATCGTATCCACGGCTAGTTACTGGTGTTCTAATCGACCGGTAATGCTAGCAACCAAGTCAAGAAACATGTACATCCACAATAACCATTATTGCAAATAGCAAACGGAAGACATTAATAACCGTTCAACGTCCTGTTATCGATGGCGAAAAAGCACGGCTTCGGCGACCCTCGTAGTATATAGGACCGCTACCAAGTCCAGGTACAACCTTAGATTTATCCCCTATAGCATTAAAGTTGTCTTTGAGCTTCTCAACACTAGTTTCTCCGGGTCCGATATAGCGATTATTTCTGCCTATACTGCATAGGTAGCCACCTATCGATATACGCCGCACAACTTCGTCAACTAGTGTCTACTAAAAGATAGGAGCAGTAATAAGTATCGTCTCAGCGCACAGCTAAACGAGATTGAGATCTTCACCATAGATAAGATGAAAAGGAGACCAGAAAGAAGTCCTTATCCATTACAGCACCACGTCGAGCGATCTAGGATTCACTTCCGAGGCAACTCGCCAGCTTCTTGCTAATAGGCGCGGCTCCCAATAATCGGGTGATTTCCGAACTGGAGCCAAGCAAGTTCATGGGCTGCTCGTATCGAGTGGGAACATCTTGTCTGTTCGGAAAAATGGCGATTTATATATGTTTAGTCAGGACATACATTTGAGCTGGCAGATCCTCGTGTACCAGGATCTCTCGGGAGGTATATAAAAGGATGCTTTCCTATCAGGATCGTGTCTCGCAGACAGTGTGAAGTGGCAATGGGGCCATATGCTATGGGAGTATACCCAGAAGAATTTCAAGAGCTCAGGGTTGAAGCTTGGCTCAAATGGTTGGGAAACGCATCGAGAAAGCCGAAAAGATGCTTCGTCTCTCTACTGTAGAGAAGGAGATGCACACTATGCACAATGAGAAGAGGCAGGACAAGTATTATGAAGGCAACAGCAACAAGTAGTTGACAGAACCCCTGTGGCGATTTTGGTGGTGCTCAGGTTGGACACGGCAGTTATTGCAAAACCTATTTTCTTTCTTGAAGCGTATTCTTCTGTAACATTTTGCGTAAATAAGTATATTTCAGAAATATCAATCCAAAAATGACTTTTTGATTCAAATTCACAAGCATATGATGAGTCTGGATGGAGCAAGGCACAGTGATAAGCGGGCTGCTGGTACTTTCGTATTTGAATACATTAATAATTATGCTGGCATCCTAGCTACAGCACCACACATGCTGGACTTCATTAAGCCGTATTTAATCCCCTTATATATATTCATGACCGGTCAACAAGCTCCCTTGTCCCTACAGAGGTCCCAAGGGTACCGGCACTGCCCATCAAACCCACGGCGCACATGACCTCCGAACGCCGTCAGTCGTTATCATCATTACTAGTACACTGTTGTGAGATAATTTGTCCCTCACAACTCTCTTTCCCTTGCAATCTCGGCCTGTTGACGTAGCTTGGGGGCGGTGGTGCTGCCTTGACTGCTTCCACTGGGATGCACACCCTGTTCCATATCAGCAGCCCAAAGGGCAGCACCGACAGTGTTGGTAAAGCAAAAGAAGATTCCGACAACGGGTACGAGCTCGAGAAGGACGGCAGGAACACCGAAGCTTGAAGATATTAGTTGAATCTCTATCTAATCGTATCGGTCTACTCACCTGGTGTATGCAGCCTTGCGCTCCTCAATGAATCGCTCCTTCTCCTGCTTCTTCATCTGCTTGAGCTGGAAGTACCTGGCATGTGCGGTCGGACCAAACTTGCGTCCTTGGAGGATGACAAAGATAAAGGTACCAACAACGGGGATGAAGTTGAGCGGCAGGTACATGAAGTAGCGAATGATGGCCTTGGGGGTAAACTTTGCAAATGGCTTGCTGACCAACTTGCCTAGTTTTCCAATGGGATCACTTCCTGACTTGACCTGACGCTCGTTTGATACAAGTGCAGTTTGGTTTCGGCAGACCATTGTGCCATCAAAGGTGTCAATCAAGGCATCATCAATGAGAAAGTTCTTGCTCAAGACAGAGAATATGGTGGACGACTCGCTGAGAACAAGCAGAACAGTGGTGACAATGGCGAGAGGACCGTTGAAGAGGGTGAGAAGCGCAGCTTGTGGGACATAGGTGACAGCAAACATCATCACAGTCACGCCCAGACCGAGCGAGACGGTTGGGAGGAGCTTGGCAGCCAGAGGTTTCCATAGTGCTCGATGTGTGAAGAAGTAGGCGATGCCCTGACTTGGTGTTAATCTTGATAAGTGCTTTCGTGTTCCGAGTTCCGGATACAGACCTTGAAAGGATAGAGATAAGCGGCCGATCGGACAGCATCTGACGCCAGCTGCTTATACTGGTCAAAGTCTTCTTTTGCGACTTCCCTGACCTTGTCAGGGACTCTCAGTCTGGACTCGGACATGGTTGCGGTGGAGAAATCGGGGCGATTGGAGGAATTAGGGATTGTGCAAGGAAAATTGCGTCGTGATAGACATCAAGTCGCGTCGTCCAGCCATGGACGTGGTGGGGGAAGGTTTTGGTGTAGCTGGAACGACGTCATTATCACGTAGATGGATGGCCCAAGCTTCAGTTCCAACAACACGGGAAATTTTGCCAGCGGCCGTGTCCAACGGAAACGGATGAACAGGCACATGCTTTTGCTGTGAATTTCTGAGACGCGTTGCAAGTCCCACTTAATTGATATCATCGGTGGGCGGATTCGTCGAGGCAGAAGAGCATCAGGAAGATGGCGACATTGCAGGGTACGTCATTCACCCCCAGCTTTGACGTGTTACAGGGAACCCCCAGCAAAGTCCCTTGTGCCAGGTTAATCGCTGTCGCGCCCGCCTGGCCCGTGATGCTCATACGGATGGTAAACCAGAAAAATGCGCTGTCAAGACATTTGGCGGGCAAGACAATACGGTATACATGTCGATGCGGCGGCTTCTAGACCGTGGGCGCGGTACCCACTCTGGTTCTCGTGCCCTGTTTACGCGCAGCTGTGGCGGTGTATGCCGGGCTGGGTACCAGGGAACTGATGCAACATTAGATGAAAGCGGGAGTGGAGTTATGGCTAAGCTTTGCCCTACCCCACATTTCCATGCACCGAATTCGAACAATGACGCAGCCCAGGCCGCCTGCTAAGTCCCGCTACGATCAAACAGGCCAGGTCGGTGTAAAACCTTCCCTGGAGGGTCCAGTCGCAGGAGCCATGAGCCAACCTCCTGTGGCTGCGGGAGGCGTGGCACGGCAGCCGTAAATTAGACAAACGAGGGGAATATCACCAGATCAGTGCCACTTGGAGACCCGCTTGACCAGGTTTCATTTCGCCCATCCAGGTTTCTTGCGGCGCTCGACACGCTTTGACGTGGGCATCCACAGTTTGCTGTGGCTGATCGCTCCACTGGCCATCGCCTCCTGGACATGTGTTCTTGATTGCCGTTTGTATCACGGACATAGACATGACGTATGGGAAGGCCTTGGGGGGTTCTTGCTGCTTCATCAGATACATATAAGAAGGCATCAGTCCCTTTGCTTTTCATCATCATCAACATCACCAACACAAACAACATCTCACAACAACAATCAACAACCTAATTCACACTTCCAATCATCTACTACTTTACATTACCCTCAGATCATACACACAACCGCAATCATGACAGGAATGATGGAGAAAGTCAAGGCCAAGGTCGATAATGTCATGCACAAGGACAAGACTCATGGTAAGTCACTTCAAGATTCACTTCTATCTTCTTTTGCTAACACTTCCCAGACGACCCCACCGGCCCTCACAGCTCACATACCGCCAACACTGCTGACCCTACCGTGCACAACACCTCCACAACTCACACTGGCTCTACTGGCCTTACTGGCAACAGCCATAGCACTCATGGCACCACAGGCTACAGTGACCCCACTGGCCCCCACGACTCTCACATGGCCAACAAGGCTGACCCAAGGGTCGACTCTGACCGTGTCGGTACCGCCGGCAACCTGGGATCCAACACCCACGCCACTCACGGAACCACTGGTACCCACGGAGTCACTGGCACCCATGGTGTCACTGGCACTCACGGAGTCACTGGCACCCACGGCTCAACCGGATACAGCGACCCTACTGGTCCTCACGACTCCCGCATGGCCAACAAGACCGACCCTAGGGTCGACTCCGACCGTGTCGGTACTGCTGGCAACATGGGAACTGGTAGCCACACAACCGGCAGCCATGGACTTACTGGCACCCACGGAACCACTGGCACCCACGGAACCACTGGCACTCACGGAACCACTGGCACTCACGGAGTGACTGGAACCCACGGTTCATCCGGATACAGCGACCCTACTGGTCCTCACGACTCCCACATGGCCAACAAGCTTGACCCCAGGGTCGACTCTGACCGTGTTGGCCCCGCTGGCAACAAGGGAAGTGCCGCCTATGGAACCAGCACCGGCACTGGCAACTTGGCTCACCGTGACAACGAGACTGGTGACCTGCCCAAGGCCCTTGTAGAGCCCTACTCCCAGGCTGAGCCTCACTCCTCCCTCCAGAATGGCCACCACACCACCGGTACCCACGGTACCACTGGCCTCCACGGCACCAACGGAACTCACGGTAGCAATGGTCTTCACAGCACCACCGGTACTACTGGTACCCACGGCACCCACGGTACCCACGGTACCACTGACGTCCACGGCAAGCCATCCATGATGGACAAGCTGAGTAAGTAGCCTCTGGCATTGCATTCAAGACATCCATATACTAACGTCTTCTAGACCCCAAGAAAGACGCTGACTTCGATGGAAAGGCGGGAATAATGGACTAAATACTGTCTCGTCTCCTGTATACATGTAATATTGTAGACAAGAGGGTCCCATTGAGCGACGGGTCACCTCCAGACATGGTTTCATGACATGACTTTCACGAATACCCCCTATATTACCTTAAACCAGCTGTATAAATAGCTTGAATCAATCGTAATATTACTATCCATTGCTTTTTGCTCGAATCATCTAGCCTATCAGTGACGCATTGCCTATATGTTAAATGATATCATCCTTCAACAACAACAATATCCTTGGCCTCCGCCATCTTCACCATCTCCGCCCTATCCTCTACACTCAAACTACTCGTCTTAGCCGCCTCCTTCCACTTTTCCACCTGCCCATACTGCTCCTCCCCCATCTTCCCCTTCAACAGCTTCAACAGTTTTGGCGCAAACTTCCCCGTAGCATACACAACGCCATCGTAGTGCCGCGCGAACAAGACAATTACCAGCATCAAAAACAGCACGGGTCCATCCGACGCTTTTTGCTTCTGTAACCGCCTCAACATGTCGTCTAGCATACTTTGTTTTGCAACTTCCAGACTCGCCTCCGACGGTGCAGGAATACCTTGCTTCTTTGCAAATTTCTCCAGCGCAGATGTGATGCCGCTGATGTCCATTGTCTTTGCCGTATCAAGGATACCAGAAAATCGAGCAATGTTCTTGCGCGTCTTGCGACTTAGTACGAGTCCCTGTGCGCGTGCTTTGGCGATCGTGTCCGGGATGAGGTCTTTGTGTGCGTAGGTAGCGAGTAAGTCTGCGAGTTGGTCGTGTAGTTTTTGGTCAGATATATGGCCCAGACCTGTCCTGTAGACTTGGAAGCGCGCGAGGATGCGGTCGGTCCAGTAGGTTGCAAAGTCTGCTTCGTTTGGTGTCTCGAGAGATGTGAGGGTCTGAAGGAAGGTTTCTTCGAGGAGTTTCTCCACAGGCTTTTCGTCGGCGAGGAAGCGCTGGATGAGACATAGTTTCGGTATCGAGGCTCGGACTCTGTCGCGGTTGAATTTTATGTCGTCGGTTCTTGTGGGGTCGGCGCGGAGAAGCTGCCATTGGGATTCTGCGTCTGCTTTTGCGTATTCCGATAGCTCATCCAGTGCGCAGGTTCGCCGGGCTTCGGTGAGGATCAAGTGACCAACGCGGACGATTCTTTCTTCTTGAGGTCTTTCGGAGAATGCGTTGACGACAGAATCTTTGACTTTGGCGACTATCGGATCTATGATAGCTGCAGGCAGACATGGGCCAATTAATTGTGCGACATCCAATGTAGAGCCTTCTTGGGCGAGTATCCGTATGGAGTTTTGCTCAATCTGCGCTATCCATGGCTTTGACACAGCAAAAGAGTCCAGTACATCTACTTCTTCAATGTCCTTGAAGTAAGATACTGCGTCTTCATAGGTTGGGACTAGCTCTGAGTACTCTGCGGCAAACTGTTTTAGATCCAAGCACTCCAGTGTACCGCTTTTCAATTCCTCGACTGTTGCGTTGCGTTTTGATTCTACAAGTTGCTTGGGTGTGCAGACTACACGGTTGGGGTCTTGCTCGATAGTAACTTGGGATGTGAGGTTTTCGGACTCTAGTGCCTTTTCTAAAGTCCGGAATATGAACCATGCCGGTGGACTGCCAGGTAAATCTTCTGGCAAGATGGTGATGGTTCTTTGAAGTGTCAATGGCCTAGCCTCTGGCGATGAAAGTTTTACTTACTGTAGTTCATTGAGTGCCTGCTTGACTCTACTAGTAATATCTCTGGAAATATCTTCCTGGTAAGCCCCTGTACATACAAAACCATCTATGTTTACAATATCGTGGGTTTGGTCTGCAAGTAAGGCGTCAAGACTTTTGGGCCATATGTCATGTTGGGAAACCAAATCGGTCTTGGAGTGCACTCCTGAAGAGAGCAAATCGGCAAGTTTTTGCTGTAACGCATCTCGCTCATCAGCGGGAATGACCTTTTCTTGATCTGCGCTTAAGAGGCACAGTTTTGGATGGCTCCGCGCAAGTTGGTGTACAAGAGTTGTGCTTATATCCAGATCGCTAGCCAATTCAAATATTGGAATTCGTTCCGTCTCTGCAAACGAAATCAGTGAAATTCCTCAACTAAAAACTTAAAAATTCACCTCTTGTTACACGACTTCGAAACTGTGCCTGGGCAAACTGAAGAGTAACGAAACCATTACCGCTGGAGGCTAGGGCAAATTGTGGTATAAACTCTGCGCTAGTCTGCGGGGGAAAGAGGGAAAAAATGCTCTTCACATCGTTTTCAGTGAACATGCTGACTCCACAGATAAGACTAAGATTTCCAAGTTTCTGGGGCAGTGCCTCTATGTTTTCAGGATCTTGCGTATAGGAATGCGCCGCTTTTTTGTCTAATGCGACAAAGAATGAGTGCAATTGAAGAGTTTGTCCTAGTGCGGTAATGCTGCGGACTGGCGCGGAAGAGGCAAATCTATGTAGGAATGAAAAAGACTGGATTTGCAGTAGTTTTGAAGGATTAGTAAGTTGAACCAAGTGTTTGTCCTGTGATTCGACTTCTGGAAGGTGAATGATGGAGGGCGGAGGCAGCGTGACGCTGATTGGTGCAAAACAAGCGGCGCCCGGATGAACATCGGAATTTGGGCGCAACCTCATCGTCGGCCCATTGACTTTGATAGTGACGACAAGACCACCCACCGCCGTCATGTCTCAATTCCGCGCGGCCAAGCTCGACATTGGCTGTTTTACGAAGATCCGCAACATTCGTGACCACACGAAGCGCAAGGTGTACTCTGAGAATGAGCCAGAGCGGTGCGCATAACCACCTCTCCAAATATCTTCCACGACTGATGGCAGTATAGACAAGCACTCCGCTACATAATCCGCAATACTACGCTCCCGCAACGAGTCCGCGCACAGGCCCAGCTTCAATTGTCGGAAATGCACTGTTACACACGCTTCACACAGATCAAGAACCGATGTATAATGGGAGGCAAAGGCCGTGGTGTTTTCAGTGACTTTAGACTCGGAAGGGTACGTAGACGGTGCAGTCAACGTTAGGCCTCAAGTTAACATTTTGGCAGTATCAATTCCGTGTCAATGCGCTCGCGGGGAATCTACCAGGTGTGAAGAAAGCAAGCTGGTAGAGAGGATGTGTGGGAACATGTATAATATTATGACAAGGCAATCGGACATTGGGTGGTGTACTTGCGTATAAGGCACCCGGGCTATGAAAATGGTTTTCTGGTTCAAAGTCGGCACGTAACTGATTGCTCTCTCTCTCTTTCTCACCTCACGTGCTAGTCGGGTTGCTCATTTCACTGTTTGCTCTTGCCGTATTTAGCAGATACAAACCGCTACAGGCCACCAACAGTAAAGCCTTTCCAACAGTTCAGCTATCCTGTTCCTCCTCAGATCGCTCCAACTCATCTGCAATCTCATCTATTGCCAAGAAGCAGTATCAACATGTTTCGGCGTGTAGAAAACACCATGAAGGCGGATCCGTCGTTCCCTGCCGACCTCAAGCAACTTGGCTTCTTTATCAACGACACGGGTCATATACGCATGATCGATGCACCAGATAAGGCTCATACCTACAATGCCACCAACAACGAGCGTGTCAACGAGCTCCGCTGTGAGGCTATGCACGGTAAGTTCGATGGCAGACATGACTTGGAGTATATCTGACATACCACAGCTTGCCAGCGAAGGGAAGTCGAAGCACGACTATCTCGCCTGGGAATCAACCGCATCTATCTTCCACAGTACACTCTAGAGAAGCCCAACGGACCGAGCATACCTATCCTTGCTCCTGATCCTGAGACGCTAAAGACACGCAAGCAAATCATTGTACTCATCAACGACACTCAACAAGACCTAGGCATCTTATCATACTCACAACTATCTCGAGACCTCGGTATCAACGGCGGATCTGTCATCAACTTCGCCAAGCAGATGATCAAGCGCTCCTGTGCAAACAACACTGACGAACAAACCGCCACCATCTTCAAAGACAACTACGAGCTCGAAGACAAAAGCACCGCACCCAGCCTGCTCATCCTAAACACATCCCAACTCCTCTACTCCCACAAACACAAGCAAGCCATGACTCTCCGCAGCTGGTCCGCCATGCCACGCAAATCCATCGCCCACGACATGATCCGCATCCACTCTTCCAACTCCCTCGCGGGCCACCTCACCCCAAAAGACCACATCAAAACCATCTTTGACGAGCTCCTGTACAACCCATCTCGCATCGCCGCCGACGCCGAACTCTGCATCATCGGAATAGAAAATAGCACCGAGGCCCTCCTCTCCATCCTCGCCGAAGATTGTAAGTAAACACACACACACCCCGATTATCCCCCCCCCCTTTCTCATATTAACAATTGTCATGTGTCAGTTGAAAAATACAGCCCCCGTATCACGGCCATAGCCCTCCTCCACTGCACCCTCGACGCCTCGCAAATCACACATGCAGGCCTCCGCACTTTCCTGCATCAGCGCGCGCGCCAGTGGCGATTCAACGATGCCCCGACTAACCCGCTGCACTGCACTGATATGCCCAAACTGCACCACGGTCACGCTGTCGGGGAAAACGATGAGATAGAGGTAGGATGGGCTTCTGGCACTCAAGTCCCGTGTCCTACGTTCGCGGGCGGTGATGGTGCGCTGGGGGAAGATGTGTTTATTGATGCTGCGGTGCAAGATGCGGTGCTAGCTTTCTTTGAAGAGGCAAGAAACCGAGGTGCGGTTTTGGGTGAGAAGATGAGTGAGGGTCGTGGTTGGAAGCCACAGGTTGAAGGGCCGCAGGTGGCTTTTGCGGGGACGATGGTGGATAGTGAGTTACTCAAGGCGGCGGGATTGATGGAGTGAGAGACGAAGTAAGGATGGGATGGATCTTTTCTTTTGTTTGCAAATATGGGATGTGGATGGAGGGTACTTAGGTATAGTGAATTGGTCATGCAGGCCATTTACTTCATTTCTGTACATGAGTGGTTTTGCTTTATCTGATCTTTGCTCACTGTGAAAGGTTATGGTGCTTATTTGTGTAATGAAAAAAAGTATTCGAATTCGTAAAAATCCCCCGTGATGCTTGAGAGAAGAAGAACGTATTTGAGCATTACGAATCAATAATCATAACTTCGCATAATCAGACATCGTGGAGTTCAGTCCCGCTTATCGTTGTCTTCGGGCCTATGCTCTGTACTCAACTGTACAAATACACATATTAGCTTGCGTTCACAAAGTCTCATCATTGAGATAAAAGACATACCTGATTCCCGTTGTAAAACTGCTGGGGCTCTCTGCCCCTTTGATCAGCCAGTGTGCGTACTCGAAAGCCTGGATTATTGGGAGTATCGTGCTGAGGTTCCTGGCTAGTTCTAGAACCCACGGTGTGACCACCACCAGGCCGGTGTTGCTGTTGCGAAGATGACGATGATGCACCTTGCGAGCCGTACCCTATAGCAGAACCAATTGTGTTGCTCACAAAGCCGACTGTCGAGGCCAGCAGCCCAAATGCGCCACCTACAAGGCCCGTAGCGGCTCCTACGACGCCGCCTTCTGCCCCCGAGTACGCCTCTGTGTATCCTTTTACTGGAACAAGGACTAGAGTCGCGCTGGGTGCAAGATCAATGTCGCCTAATGATTGACTTTCGTCACCCGCCGAGAGCTCGCGGCTTGGCTGAGGTGCAAGGATGTGGCGAAAGTAGTAAGGAGGAAGCTGCTTGTGGTTGATGTTTGCATCGTCTTGAGAAAGCTTAGAAAACTCCAAATCTACCCATTTCCTCACTTCTTCCTGCAGTGTGGCTTCGCGTGGAAATGTCGAGCGTATTGTGCGCCCGTCGAATAACCGCACATTCAAATTGACGTGCTTTGCCCGTGACCCCCTTGAAGACGATGTTGTTGTGTGCGGTGGAGGCGATGTTTGAGCTTCCTTGTTTCGCTCCTTCTCCCGCTCTGCTTTTCTTGCTTCTGCTTCTGCCCTTCTTGCTGCCTTGTCTGCCTCTATTCGTGCCTTTACACGTGCCAATTCCTCTGCTTCTTCTTTCTTCTTCTTCCGTAGGGCATCGCGAGCTTCTTGCTGTGCTTTGTTCGTAGACGCAGACGAAGTGGATTTCGATGTCGACGCTGATGCCATCCTTTGCTTTCCTTTTGCGTTCGCTGACGGTGGAGGCGCAGCTGCGGGTTCAGCTTGTGTGGGTGTGTAGGGTTCTTCGGGCCCATACAAATCGTCCTCAGCGGCTGCAGTGTTGTAACTACTGGATGAGTCTAGGGTACCGGCCTGTGGTGGTGACGTTGGTGCTGTATTGGAACCCGGAATGGGGTTGGCTCTGAGCACTCGTCTGATGGAGTTGATAAACTCATCCTTGGTGACGTGACTCTTGAGTTGTATTTGAAGTTGCCCGTTGTGTATAACGACAAAGGTGGGAATCTCTGAGAGATCGGAGAAGGCGGCGAGGAATCCAGCCTCGGTGGAGCCTGCTTCAAGTCGCAAGAGAACAGCCTTTTGAGCGAGGAGGCTGGAAAGCTGGGCAAGTGGTCAACACGTGCATGTCAGAGTACGCCGGGAAATACCCAAGCCAGGCGACTTACCCATCCACTGGTCAGCCACTCCTCTTCCCATTCCTTGCTCGTGGCTCCGTCGTCTGTTCAGGTGGTTAGTGTGATCTCCACATCCCGAGTGGACAGAGTTGCCTCAAATACCTCGCACAAAGCAAGCGACGAGCTTTTGTTCCTTGATGGCAAGGGCAATACCGCTCTGTAAAGTTCCTTCATGGAACATGATTGCAAGAGGGTGTAGGCAGAGTGGCGGGTGTTTGCGGGGAAAGCTAGGGGAAGCGCGCTGGAACAAGGATGTGTGCCTGCGCCTCCAACCTCCAACATGGCCGGTACCGAGGCCAAACGGTCGCGTACATGTCTTCACATGATTCATCACAAAACAGGCTTCTGTAGAAATATTTTTGGCAAAGTTCAAAAAAGGAAAGCTCATGCAATAAACTGATCTACTGGAAATGCTAAACCCAGTTCCTGTGAATCCTCCACGCCCAAGAAGAGTAATGCAGCAGAAAAAGCCAATGCTAGACTCCTGATATTCAACTGCAGCGTATTAAAAGATGCTGCGAAGCAAATGCTATTCGTGTAGATGGACGCATATGCCGGCATGTCGGTCGCCTCCTTGTTCGCCAGTGACGTCTCCAAAAGCGATGTCCACCCTATCTCCTGTGTTTGGTATCCAGATGATATCACTCCCATACGTTAATCCTCAAGTAAGTTGTAGAGATGATCTACGAGCATATTCAATCTTCTGATCTTTGTGCAATTACGCCAAAACATGTCTCGGCTTGACGCTCCACTCCGCCTCTTTATAGAATGGTGCACTTCTTCTTGTTCTTTGCCGCCGACGGTGGGGCACGGGGACTGAGGACGGCACTAGGGAAAAAAAAGTTAGCGGTGAGGCGTGGGCAAGGGGATGGGGTAAAAACGCACCGGATCGCCTCGTCAAAAACACTCTTGAGGTTGCGCTGTGTGAGCGCAGAGCATTCCAGGTACTTTTGCGCCTTGATTTCCTTTGCGACCATGACGGCCTGCTCATATTGGATGGGCGCCATCTTCTTCTGCCTTAGCGACTCCTTTGTGGCCTCGTCGTCCCGCAAATCAAGCTTTGTGCCGACGAGGATGATTGGTACGCCAGGCGCGTGATGGTCAATTTCGGGGTACCACTGACGTCAAGTTAGCAACAAGCGCGACAGCTGGGATAATGATAAATTTTGATGATGGAGTCAGCTGTGCCTTACCTTTGCCTTTACGTTGTCGAATGAGGGAGGGCTGACGATGGAGAAGCAGATGAGGAAGACGTCGGTCTGAGGGTAGGAGAGCGGCCGCAGCCTGTCGTAATCCTCCTGTCCGGCGGTATCCCACAGTCCCAAGCTTATTGGCTTTCCATCCACCATGACATTTGCAGAGTAATTATCAAAACTAGGCGGGTTAGCTCATGGAAGCGTGGAGGAGGGCGGAGGGCAAACGTACACTGTAGGAATGTACTCGCCGGGGAAGGCGTTGGTCGTGTACGAGATGAGAAGACATGTCTGGGACAGGCAATCAGCATGCGGCCTCAGCGATGGACGACGAAGGGGGCAGAGTTTCTTACTTTGCCAACAGCACCGTCGCCTGTGACGACGCACTTGAGGGATTGGGTTGCAGGTGCAGCCATGGTGTGGGTTGCAGGTGCAGGTGCAGGTGCAGCGTCGTCTGATTAGAGTTGGTTACGACCCTGCTCGGCGGAGGCAATGGGGCGGGCTCGGGAGATGGAGAAGCGAAGGGCGGAGCTCAGAGACCCTGCAAGAAGATGGGTCAGGCGGTGTCGTGAGGCGCAGACTATGAGGGTGGGAGAGTATATGGGTGTGTGGTGTAGTGTAGTGTGGTGTGGAAGAGAGAAGGACGCACCGTTGGGACAGGTCGACAACGTGTGGGTAGCTTCTGGTTCTGGCGGAAGCTACTACCTGCAGCGTAGGGGGGAGGGGGGCGTTTTATCGCTTGGCGGCGGCGGGTCAAGAAGCGAGCAAGCAAGCTTGAGAAAGCTGGACTGGAGTGGATGGGCGAATGCAAATGCAGGCTGCGCGAGTCGAAGCAGCGCGGGCCACTGACGGGGACACTGGCGGGCGGGGTCCGAGTCGTGGAATAGCGGCAATTGCGCAGCTGAGGGTGTGCAGGGCGGCAGGCGGTTAGTGGGAGTGGTGATGATGGCAGGTGTAGTAGTGGTGATGTGTGGGCTTATGGCAAAGGGGGGGGAGAGGCAGACAGTGAGAGAGAAGAGGCGTGTGCCGGTGTAATAGCGTAGATTTGCGGCGTAGGAGCGGCGGCGTCGTGGGCCAAAAGGGCAGCAGGCGCGTATCCTCTTGAAACCCATTTGCGACACAGCAGGCTCACCACGCCTCTACCGCGTCCGATAGGCAGGGCGCACGGCTCGACCAAGGTCCCACCCGATGCAGATGCACGCTGCCCGGCGCTGGACTTGGACATGCACCCCTGTGGATGAGCCGGCCTGTCCTCGATCCATTACCCGCAAGACGAGTGCCCCATGCAGTGTGGCATGCAGAATGCAGACATCCACACATGGACGCATGCACTCCGTCCCTGGAGCCTCCACCAAGCCCGGAGGCCGGAGGCGCGTGTCGGACCAGAGACTCGTTGATATTGCACATGCTGGCTGGCCGTGGTGTTGGTGTTGTTGTTCCTGCTTCTGCACACAAAACGCCCAGTCACGTGCAAGCCGGCCGACTAAGCCATACCACGGCCATGCTAAGATGCTAGGGCACAATCCTCCGCGCCCGACACACACGCCTTTCTCATGCCATCCGCCCTCGATGCACTTTCCCTCTACATCCATGGCACCACCACCGCCACTACTACCACTACCACTACTACTACTATCACCACACCAAATCTCACGTCAGGTCCTCCTCGCCACTCATGTCTTGGTGGTGTGCCATGGGGGGCATGCACATGTCAACCATAATCGCCGCCTGTCCGCCCTGTGATTCGCCAGTCGCCGCATATTTGTGCTTGCCAGTGCGCCCGTGCTGCTCTCTGATTTGCCCTCTGAACCTAAACACCGTGCGAACATCGCATTAGCACCTCCATCGCACCCGCGCCCCCGGCTTCGACTCGTAACCATGCACGTGTGGCCACAGAGGCCTGGTTTTAGCCACCGTCTCGAGACGTTCCTCCTGCATTCCGGCCCTGTCCTCGACTGCTTGTTTCTGATTTCGCCCCACGACACACTTGCCCCTCTTGTCCTCGCTCACATATCTATGCACGCCCTCCAAATCACTCCAAAGACATATATCAACGTCATGTAAGAAAAAAACAAGCCTCGCTGCACTGTCGCCATGCCGCGTGCACGGCTGCGAACCGTAGTCTTGGTCTTCAACGTTATCTATCTATGTACACGCGCCCAGCATTCATTGGGTATCAAGAGTTCAACATCAAATTCCCACTTCCATTAGTAGAAAAGAAACAGTCCATCGCCTCCCTGCTTGTCTTCCCCCACCAGCTCCTTCCGCAGCAGCAGCTTCATCAGCGCCTCATGCAGCTCCTTCATGTCCAGAATCCCACGCTTCTTTTGGTCAATATAAGACACATCCACCACCACTCGCTTCAGGTTGGCCGTGGAAAGTGCCCCATCCTCAAGCAATGCCACCAGTCGATCAGGCGTTCCAACTCCGTAGTCGATTCTACCCAACAAATTAGCTTGACTATTCCAAATTGCCAACCATGGTTCCACCTACTTGCTCTTCTTCAACTGCGATACCTGATCCGCCAGTTTGAGATGCTTTGCAAATAGCTTTGCGACATTCGGCTTTTGAACTCCTTGTTTGGGCAGTCCCGCCTTCAGAGTCCGGCAGACATCGGCCGCTCGAATCCCAGACAAAGTCACCACAATCGTATGTGGTGCTCCGGGCGGCTTGGAAGGCGTCAGTTGTAGCGCACCCGCCTGCTTCTTGAGAAAGGCTGGTAGATTATCCGTCGTTCGTGGTTCGCTCCAGCTCGTGCTATCTTGTACTGTGCGTGCTGCATCGTGTCAATACAGTCCTGACCAAACTATGCATTTTCCACACCTACCGGAAATGAACTTGTCCTCGAGCTCTACACTGCTCAAATCTTGTCCATATAGTCGTGTTCGCGCGTTGACGTAGTCTGCTAGTAGCTGGCCATCCATGCGCTCGAAAGCGTGGTTCACTCCCAACTGCTGGTCCAAATCATCTTCATCTATCGCCTTTGCTCTCTGCTTCTTCTTTTCCTTTCGCTTGGCTTTTTTGGCAGCTTTCTTGTCGTCCTTGGTTGCCTCAGGCTCGGCTTCTCTTTTCCTCTTTTTGGAAGAAGCGTCAACGTCAAACTGCGCCTCAATGAGGGGTATACCTCCTTCAGAATCTGACATGGCGGGGGCTGTGTTTTGTGTGAAGAGCGCGACCAAGTTCGTGCAACAGAAAAAGTTACAGCGAGGATTAAGGTTATCGATAGCCTAACCAATACCGGACTAGCGCCGCTACGCGCCGCAAGGTCGCGCTCAAGCGACGCGTTTCCCTGACGTCTATCCACCATCCCACGCTCCCACGACGCAACCTCGGATGGTGCCGCCGCAATGGCAGAATCTGCGCGCAAGAAGCACCGCTTCTCACCAGATGCCCAAGTTCAGGACACGCCGAGCAACAATGCCACTCTACAACCCATAACCCCCTTCCGCCGTGCCATTAGCGCTGGCCCCACCCCAGGAAGCCGAAGAACACCACTCATAAGGACACCGGGAACTGGACGAACACCTAGAGGCGGACCGGCCACTCGTCCTCTTACTTCACGGCGCATTGCGCCGACCACGCCGCATGCGATACGGGCCCTAAGGGAAAGAGCCAATGCAGCTCGGACACCGGGCAACAACCGGAGAAGGAGTGGGCGTATCCAGAGGGAAACACCGCGTGATCTACTACGTGATCTGAGTAGAGGTAATTCTTTGAAACCAAATCCCTTCAACTCAGCTAAGTGATTATGTAGCGCTTGCTCGTACCAGTCGTCCAGTCGAGCCTTCCCCGCAGGTCCTGCCCCAACGCCCACGACACTCTGCCTTGGACCTGCCAGATGTTGAAGATGGCCCACCAATGGCTGCCCCGCGACTTTCCATGCCACTGGAGAACATGTATGACGACGATGACGACAGTTTCCATAGCGCCCCGCCACGGCAATCGCTACTACCAGACCTACCGGATGATGTGGATGGTGGGACTGTGCAATCCCTCGAGTTTGGAAGGCGAGCCATTAGTGAAGATCCGCGCTTGATGTACGGGGGGAGGCAAAGCGAAAGATTTGGAGATTTGAGTGAACTCGGCGCGGTAGAGGAAGAGTTTGAAGTAGATGGGACTTTCATCAATCGACGCGCAGATGGGCTGTTTGACCAAAATATCGAGGAAGATCTAGACAGAGACGATACAACTATACAGGCACTGACTGGCCGAAGAGACGGGCGCACTAGCGATGCCAACCTGGGCATATTTGGCGAGGGAGACGATGACACAGAGGAGCCCACTTTCCGCTTCATGATACCCGATCGTATGCGTGCGCCACCCCGGCAACCTTCACCAGAAGAGCAAGAAGTTCAGGAAGACAATGTACCAGATAGCGAGCCTGTGGAGCTCCCAGACGACACAGAAATACAATACGACGAGGATCAAGACCCAACTGCGGCTTTGGAGGACGAATATCTTACCTTGGATCAAGACAATCTAGGATGGGAATCCGACCCTCCTGTAGATGATGATGCCGAGCTTGCAGCCTACCGAGAAGAGGAATCAGCAATCGATCGGAGTCTCCAGACACACTCACCCGAGCGACCTTCCGCGGAACAGTTAAAGGGGGTGCAGAAGGCCAAGGAATACATGGTTTCAGAGCACGGTATCGGCTTTCCTTCGTTCCCCGCGGCACCAGTCAAGAAACTTGCTCTCAGTTTTATGAAGTCACAAGGAAGCAAAGCTCACCTCAGCAAGGACACTCTTGACGCCCTTGTCCATACAACCAACGACTTTTTCGAGCAAATCAGCATTGATCTCGCAGCCTATGCACAGCACGGCGGACGGAGGATGATTGAAGAGAGCGACGTCATCGCACTTATGAAGAGGTATTGTTACATCTAGTCTGCTGTACAGTTTTGTACAAATATGCTCGTCCAAATTGCTAACCCTCACAAGAACCCGCAAAACGACCGACAGCAGTACATCGTTTTCGCTTGCACAAAAGATGCTCCCTCGGGAACTGGTCCAGCAGCTGCGCATGCAGCCCCCGGTCAAGCTTAAAAGCCAAAAGCGCAAGCGGCCAGAACCTGTACAAGAAGATGATGAAGAAGATTGAGGCGGCCTAGTCATGCCTTATGACCAGTCCACGCTCTGTCGTACCCGTCGTTGGGTGCCTGACATGGGCTTCTTGACGACCATCCAGAACATTACGGATGTCGCAAGACTCAATGCGTACCTATTTCACGTAAGCATTGGTGCATGTATATGGAAATGGGATACGCACCATGTGAAGATGTACTGTGTATGATTGTTGCGCAGATTTACGGTTGGCGGCCTACCAATGGGTACGCCCTTTGGTTCGCGCTCATAATTTGTGAGCAAATCCGGCGCTGTGGTGAATAGTTAGATACCCCCAATAGCAATCATTTGAACAGGTTTTCAAGAGGCGCACTTACTCATTGTCTCCTCCACCCAGACTGGCTGACTCCCGCTATACTCTGCCATTTCCTCCACACTCGGAAAAAACCATTTCCCCTTCTCTGGCTCATTCTTCGGTGTAAACATGTTTCCCTTTGGCGGCACCCTCAGCAACCCCTCAATCGTAACCTCTCCCTCTGGCAGCGCCCCGTTCTTCTTACGAAACCACTGCGGACTCGCTTCCTTCTTAATCCACCCCCTACACGCTAGTATCTTGTGCACATTGCCCCTCGCATCCCTGCGCTCCAACGGCGTAACAACCGTGTACCCCTCCTCGCCATCCAGCATGCGCGGCCCAATCAGCATTTCCTGGTCATGTCTTAGCACGCCCGTCGCATACACCTTTCTATAGTCGAAATCCTTGATGGCCTCCGGGTCGATTCGCAGCGGCAGTTCCAGCGGCGGGAACGTCAATCGATCTTCAAATCGCGCTATTAGATCTGTTTTCCAGCCCAGCCGTTGCACCTGCCAGCACCCGAGCACGAAGGCGGTTATGGGTATGATGGCGAGGATGATGAGGCCTGGTCCGTGTTGTTTGCCTGCGCGCGCCATTTTCGCCGGCCGATCAAGGATAGAGACGAAGTTTGGGTCGAGGCCGGGGCCGCCGCCTACATTGCGCTTTTGGGTGCGGAAGAGGAGGAATTGCGGGTGGAGGCGTGCGCGGAGGCATTGCGGGCTGGATTGTATTGGGCGGGTGGTTCGTGTGAGGGGGATTATCCTTTGCGAGTAGTATCTCCTGAAGAGATTTAAAAAGGGGTTTGGTTTCGACATTTTGGCGTCGGTGGTGGTGGGGGAAGAGGCGTAAACTTCGATGATGGGGAAAGTTGAGATGCGATTGAATTAGTACGGTCGGACATCCGAGCTCTCAATGCGGCATAGGTCCCCGCTCCACACTTCCCCATGTCAACAATCTCCACGACTACCCAGGCTTCATTCGTTTTCCAAGAACCACGACACTGAAGTTTCAACATCATGGCGGAAACCCAGGATATGCCTGTTCCCCGGGCGGATGAAGCAGTAGCGAAACGAGATAAAGATGATTTGCTGGATCATTTGGATGACCTGCTCGAGCGCTATCTGCACACATTGCACGAGTATCAGCAGGTGATGCAGCAACTTTCAAAGCAACTATCTAATGTATGTTCATTCTACAGAATACTGCCTTGAAAAGTGAAGGAGATTAACGTAGAATGTAGGGCTACATGTCCCTTGCTCAAGCAAACTTTCACAACTCGTCTTCTGCAATTCGATATGGACAGGACTGCTACGATGAACGCATGCAGGCTATACGAAAAGTGTATGTTCTTCCAAAAATCCAATGTCTAGGATTCATATCATGCAATCCCAAATAGTGTATGTCCTTGAAATACATGGATTATACTAACAACCAAAAGTCGCGTCTCGGAGGGGCAAACAAGTGACGTCCCACACTTTTCCGTCCACAAATCTGATCCTTCAGATGAGAACGTAGATGCTTCTGATGATGCGTCCAAAAAGGAAGATGCCCAAGAATCAAAGGACGACTCAGAACATGTTACACCAACAGCACCAGAATCCAAGCAGGAAGAAGAGCCAAAAACGACATCAAAGACGGAAGAATCAAGCCCAGCATCAGAAGAGACTAAAGAAAAAACAAAGACTACGAAGAAATCCAATGATCCACTGAAATGGTTCGGCATTCTCGTTCCACCTGCTCTTCGAACAGCACAATCTGCATTCGTAAACGCAGTCGAGGCCCCAATCCCACAGCTAGCCACACTAGCCCGAGATATGCGAATGCAGGAGATTGAAATCGGACGTGTCAGAAAGCAAATCAAGAAGCTCTAGATATCTTTTCTCTGCTCAATCAACTAATTCAATTCAAACTCATAGAAAATTACATTTGCACACAATCCTCCTATTGCCACTTCAAACCTCTGTACCCGTGCTAAACTGAAGCTACCGTACTTCCCAGGAAGATAAAAAAATAAAACGCCATTCCAATGCACCCCCCTCTCCACCTCCACCATCCCAAGCTAAACCTCCTTCATAAGCTCCTCCAACTCATCATCATCATCCCAGCCTCCCCCCCTCCTCTCCACAACAATCTTCTGCTCCTCCTTCTCCTGCTGCTCCGCCACAGCCCCCAGAATCTCCTTGAGCTGCTCCTCCGTCACTTTGGAGCGAAGCTGGCCCGTCCGCGCCAGCATAATAAGCCGGTTCTCAATGTCTGTGGCGCGCGATTCTTTGACGAGGCGGATGCGGCCGAGGCGGTCCGCGGCTTCGGGGAGGAGGATTTGAGACAGGATTGAGGAGCGTTGGTCCGCTGTGTGCGTGGTGGGGTTAGTTAGTAAGAGGGTGGGTTGTTGGTGGGGGCAAGGGAGGATGTACCTTCTTGTTGTCTGTGGGATGTAAAAGTTAGTATATATTAATTGGATATTGGGGGGTGGAGTAGAGGGGTATTTACTTTCGCGACTCTTGCTCTGAGCCTGAACCGCGGGCCCCGCCTTGCTGCTGCTGCAACTGCTGGAGGCGCGCGCGCCTGATTTGCTCGAGATCTTCGTCTGACATTTTTTTTCTTCTTCGGTCGCTTTTGGTGTGCTTGATTGGGTTGCTTTGCGCAGAAGGAAAAGGAAGGGTGGGGGTAAACAAAGGTGCGGACTAAGGTTGTGGCGCGCACAGAAAGTGTGGTGGATGCGGGGAGGTTCGGGGGTCCGCAGGCTAACTGGTGGGTACGGGTCGCGGTTACACTACCACATAGGGTCGACTTTGAATCTAAGTACTATGGCGGAGGTCAAGTTGCTGGTTGATATCTATAGTAAGATAAGGTATTGTAGAAACATAATAAGTTGTTATCTAAATAGAATATGTCCAAGGCACGTGACCAATTCTTCAGAGTGTAGTAAAGTTTCAGGAAAGTACAATTGCATGATTGTCAAGTATTAACTTATAGTATGGTAATTGCAAGTTGCTAAGATACTTCAGTACAGCAAGTAACATTGGAAGAAGTAACTATAAAAAGTCACAATGCTTACATTTCGCTGATACCCTGCAGGTGAGTGCCGACGCTCCCAACGATATTACCGTCCCAACGATATTTTTTTGTAACTCTATCACTTAAATCTATTCTT